CAAGATAAGACATGAAAGCTCGAAACCAAATCGAAAAGGGGATAGAGAGCCAATCCTCTGTCTGCTGTAACTTTGCAGACAGCTCCTCGCGTTCATGTTCGGTGACGTACTCGGCTAACTTCACCTATAGCTTGTTCTTCATGTCATACATATATGCTTCGACAGCATTCTTCTTGTCTTTCGTTTCCTCCATTACACGATCTTACAGTGCCATTTCATACTCTTCCTCCTGAGCTTTTTTGATGTTAGGACTTAAAAGGCCTCCAGGAACCATCTCGTTCACAGGTACCTCAGTCCTCTTGGTCTTCTTCTTCTTAGCTACTTCTTGCTTCGGTTCGGTCTCCGTCTTAGAAGGCTTCTCATCGGCTGCAGCACCATTCTCCGGGCCTGTACCGTCAGTTTGCTGACTGTCCGCATCGTCCATCTTCCCGTAAGCAGGCTTCTCTCCATCAATTTCCATATTGATTTCCTTTACCTCTTGCGTAGCTTCCTTCACCTTCTACTTCCTCTTCCTCAATGAGAGTGTTGAACTTCTCTCCTTTTTCTTCTAGAACTCTTGGCCGAAGTCACGTTCGCTGTGTGTTTTGGTCAGTGAAGTCCCTGCTTTGAGTGCTTCCTTGACCACCAAGGACTAACTCAACTTTGTGGAGAAGTACTTATTTTTCAAGAAAGAACTGCAGTGGTTTTTCTAACCATGAAACAAAACGGTTACAAGAACTTACAAGAACTCGTATGGGAACCTGGGCGACGGTGGGATGAAGTGCCGTCGAAGGGGTCCCATCGGGTAAACTGAAACCTTTTGGGTTTCAGCAAGACTTGTGCGTTCTGCTGGGGTCCCATCAAGTAACTTTCTTGTATTAATGCCCTGCACATCGTACTCGCGCGCTAGAGCACTTTTACTATTCAGATCTGAGGTATCAGATCTCTAATCCGGTCCGATGGAATTGGTGTCGTGAAATCAGGTTCTTCCACTTTCTGTTGTGTGAAACTCTCAAATTTGGTTGATTCATCTGCTGAATTTGTGCTAGTTGTGTAGAGGGAGGACATCCTGTACAACTGTAAGTCGCACTGAGATGATTGTCAGATTTGACTGTTATGTATCACATTCTGTTCGACACATGTTATATGCAGATCTGAGTCAGGATAACTGTTCCTGATTTTAGGCTCTAAGTATTAATGCTGTGCAATATCTGAAAGCGAAACCTCTTGTCGAGATCCCACACCAGCAGCTACCCGAACGACAGCCGTAGCGCATAACTATCTTTTTCTTCTCTGAAGAGCTGTAGTGCCTTTATAAACGGGTGAAGTACTTGGACTCGGAGCAGCCGTATAACGTGAAGTTGCTTACCACCCATACGTCGTGGTTTACAAGGGTGTACTTGCTCTCCCGAACACGAGGTGGACTTCAGTGTGATCAAAAGTCGGAACGTACGACGAATTTTTCACTGTGCTTTTCACATCTTCTGCGTCCACTTTGCCACGCATATTCAATTTCTGTGTCATTGTTACGTCTAGATTTGTATCGGGTTGGCATCCGGTCCTGCCTGAGAAGTTTTCTGGCTTCAATTTTGGAATACAACTCCCTTCTCCACATACTGTTGAATCCAAAAAATTCATGACTGTCTTGACCATGGAACACTGTTTAGTCTGCAGCACTTTTACTAGGAGCATCTGTGTTGCCCAGCTTCGCTATTATATCGCATCGCTGGGACCCATACAGACGTTTCCCGTTAGACCTCTTTTACTAGGAGCATCCGTGTTGCTCAGGTTCGCTGTCATATCACATCGTTGGGACTCCTTTAGGCGTTTCCCGTTTGGTTTTTTCGACATTGCGTCCAAATCAAACGACTAGGAAGTGATTCTTCTAATGAACGCACCTACTGGGTAAGTACGCTCAATCCTCCCAGGTTCAAGTTGCGTACTTAGGCGGGAGACTACTGTAATAACTTCAACATACTTTCGCAAATGTCTCTTCCCACTTGAAATTCATTGATCATCTAACAAAGCCTCCAATCTCTTACATCTTATGTATATGTATCACTACTAGGATTTACTCAGGTCTTGTGACCCGTAATTGGCCGTTCACGTGTTATTAATTATCCCATTTCAGGAAGTTTGGTGTCTACAGCTTGCTTGTCTGGGCAGCAGTTTTTGGAAATAAACCGTTTTCTGTTGGGTCGTGAGTCATCCTCAAGGGTCCAGTTCAGAGTCCTATTTGACTCCATCTAGTGTAGATTGACTGATGCCCGGCCGGTGGATATTGTTCGTGTTCCCTTTATCCTTCACTCGAATTGGATTCGGGGAGCCAAAATGCCATTGTTTTGTCAGTGTTTGTGCACTAGTTTTCCCAACCATGTTCGGTTTTATTCGATTTTATCTCTTATTCATACATACACTCCTTCCTTGGATTGTTGCTGCCTGTAATCTTTTTCCGCAGATCATGTTTAACTCCTTTTCTGGATATTTTGTTGTTCTACCTCTTCGTATTGAATACTAGGTCATGAATTCTGTGCTTGTTTCGGACCTCTTCTCTTCTAATCTCCCGGGTCTGTGGTCTTCGGTGTCCTTGCGTGTCAAGCCCTTGCACTTGATCACGTGTTCTTTTACCAAGTGATTGTTTCCAAGGAATGCAAACTGTATCCCTACCTTAAGTAATTTGAGAGGAAGATTGTTTTGATCGGTGATCTTTTATGGACACCGGTTATCACCCGAGCTCATGGCTTGCATGCAGGCGAGATTTAGCGACTTATCACGAGAGATTAGCTCTGTAAATTTTTATTTGGCCCTCTGGTTGGGTTGCTTCTCGCCTTTGTTGGCCTCTGCTTTGTACCGTTCTCCTCGCTCTTGTTGTTCCTTGGTTTTCTCATTTAAATTTTAGGCAGAAACCTGTACACGTCGTGAATGTTGTGCAAGTCGGTACACGCTAATATGCAGAAATCAAAAGTCATTCTATAAATACATTTATATTTATCTGATAGATAGTAGTTTTTGATCTCTTTAAGAAACCTATTCAAAGTTGTCGAAGTTAAAATGGCACATTTTGATTATTAATATGAAAAGTCTATCAATCACTATATGTATCTTTGTTTGCGTCGAAATTGTTCATGAAGACAGGTGGTAGAACAGTTTTCTCGAATAGAAATTGTTGTGGCAATTACTAACTTGTGCAGCATTTTGTAATCAAAATGATTCCCACTTGGGTCCCTAAGTTGCCTTCTATCTCCTCGAGACTAAAAATTTTATCCTGATGGATTTTGATCAGCAGTAGGAAACACCGTATGTTTTCAGTTGTTTCTGTCTTTGAGGATACACTCTATTCCTATTCTTGTCTATTAAACTCTACACCCATTTCTGAACACCGATCTTGGAAATGAGCAATCAATTGTCCCCTACACAGACCAGGCTATTTCTTCTCTATCATTCGTCGTTACTGCGTGGCAATTATACAAGGTTCGACCTCAACCACGCTCTACAGTATCAGTTAGTGACACTACTTCAACACAGTTTTCCACATGGTTAGGAGGAGTTGAGAAGTAGCTCTCTCCAGCTCTTTATTAAGCACTACAATATGCGGATGGTATATCGTACCGTGACTTCTGTCCTGCGTCGGAAAGTGTTCATTTAGGATGTGCAGCCATGGGAATTCTCTGATCGCTACGAAGGTTAAGTATACACGGCGATGAGCTTGTTTACAAGCCCGTCTTCTAGTTGAGTTCAGCCACACCTTAGGTGTCTTTACCTTACCTTTTGCACGAAGAATCACTGTAATATTTTTCATTTTCTCGCACTTATTGGACGAACCAAACCGCACATTGGTCCGTCAATGCGCATGCATTCGTTTGTCACGCCCTCGTTTGTTGTATCAGCCTTGTTTGTCCTATTTTATCTGTTATAAGTGCACTTCATTCCTTGGTTTGTTGCTGTCTGCTTCTCCTTTCAGCGATTCACCTATTAATTTAGTTCTGAAGACTTCCATGTACGCCTGCCTCCGTCTACTTCTTCAAATATATTGATGCTTTGTGTCGTTTCTAATGTTCTGATGATTTTAAAGCCTTGTGGTGTGCCGCAGATAGATCCATTATTGTGCACTTCGGTGTGCTTGTGTGTTGAATCACACAACGGTCATTGAATCAATGACCGTTGTGTGATTCAACACACAAGCACAACGAAGTGCACAAATTAGGGATCATTACAACAATAGTGGATCTATCTACGGCACACCCCAAGGCTTTAAAATCATCAGAAAATTTGAAACGACACAAAGCATCAAAATATTTGAAGATCATTGCAACACTCATTGATTTTACTCCGCGACTGAGGACAATTTGCGTGTGATTGGCATTTCCTTGCTGCCCTCCTTTTTTCAATCACTTGGATTTTTATGTGGGTTTTAATACTGACGCTCAATGCAGTGTGTTCGTTTTCTGTTTCTATTAGACTCTTTATTCTTGCGTCGGGTTAATTCGTATGTTGGTTCTATTCTTTGCATGTTCCTGATGCAATGTCGATGCTCGTTAATCCTTCCTGCCTCTAGTAACTGTGTATATTTCTGCAGGAATTCATCACTTTGCGCAAAAATCAATCTCTTATTCTTCTTTTTTGTTGGATCTTAGATTGCTCATGACAACTATTTATTTGCATCTTCCATTTCGCAATATATTGCTGGAGCAGTCATGTAAACTAATACAGGGTAAAATCGGGTACACGTTAACGAACAAATAATGCGGAAAAGAGAAAAGACCCTTGTGAGGAGGTCTTTTCATTCTTCTGTGTCTAGCCCGGAGCATACTTGTATGTTGTAACTGTTTTGTGTATGATGTTTTCTGCGTCGCCTAACGGAGAGAAATTTTCTGCTGAGTTGTTTTGAGGTTGGATATCGTGGCTTATGCAAATCTTCTATGAAGAAAATAGTAGAATAAGCTAACATATCTGTGCATTTTTATAAAAAGGAAGATTTTGTGATCTAATGTTGTGAAATTTGTTTTCTTGTTTCGTTGCAGTTTCAATGATAAGAGCCCCCGTCGAAGACGATCGAAAAAAGTTCGTTTGTCCTGCGGAGGCTCGTAAGAAACGTGGTCGCCTCGCTAGGCCTAGGAAGGGGAACTTGTTTGGAAGTTTCTTATCTGGTGTATCAGACGAGAAGTCGGTAGACCAGAAGATGGTGTCAGAGCTAGTTACCGTTTACGTTGAACAAGTGACTAGATTTGGAGAAGACACTGGTACTCCCTTGTACAGGCCAGCTTCCCCGGATGGACCAGTACTTGTGGAGTCCTTTCTCACTGAGCAGAGCGTTTCGGTTAGGCCTTCATCAGCAATTCAAAGACTTTACAGTACAAAAGTGAAGGGCGACGTCGAAGGAACAGATAGTGGTGGGGAGGTAATGGCTAAAGGTGATGAGTTGCAAGCAAAAAAGGCTGCTACAATGAAGATACTGAAGTCCGTATTAGGGGTTGATCAATCAGCATCTTCGTTGACGTACTCAAAAATAGAAGATGTCAGCAGCCTACCACAAGAAAGGTAAATCGCTGTTTCTCCAAGCCGTTCCTTTTCTCTGAGTTTCCCTTCTGACAGTATTTTCTTCATTTGAACTGTTTCCATTCGCGCACGTCGCTGGAAGAAAATCAATACAGTGCGGTTGAACTGTGCTTACTATGTGTTAAGTTTACAGTACGAAATTGGTTGCAAATGATCACTTATCGAAGCTAGTTACATACAAATGCAGTTTCGAAAATAAATATTCATCAGTTTCGATTGGGAAATAGAGCATCAGAGCATTGGAGAGAAACCGTATGTAGACGGTTCCTAACTTCAAGTACATCTTTTGACCTACAGATCTTCATCAGAAGAAAACCTTTCGAGCGAAGAAGAAGATGAGTTCGAAAACTCGGCGGGAACGCATACAAGGGATTTGAGGACAAAGGTTAGCAGTTTGAACAAAATTGTGTTCATACCATCACAATCATCTCCTTCGAGAATTCACCTCTAAAGACTTCAACATTTAAAAAATGTAGAGGAGAGTTTTCCCCTTTTGAATTTGGTTCAAGTATATTCATATAGATATCATGGTTATTGAATTTTTTCATATTGCTTATCCAGGTGGAAACTCCGGGGTGGCTTATAGACTCCATCAAAGAAGCCGCGAAGACTTCTGCACGACCTGTTCCTGTTCGAGAAAGGAATTGCAAAATTCGTGGTGTAGATCGACAATGCCAAAACGAAATTCCAGCCTTGGAAAGTGCGACGGCTTGTAGTACTAAAACATACGAGAGGAGGAGAAGTAAACTTTCTCCACATTCCCAGAGGGAGTCTGTCTCGAGAAAAAGGCAGATGGAGTTAGCAGATAGTGACCCCATATCCAGGACGCTGGATTTCTCTTCAGACGATGTAGAACCTGTGCAGTACTACGAGCTACAACCGCTATACGTTCCCATGAGAATTTTTCCGAGCCAGTTTACATATCAAAATTATGATCTCATGGGACCCGATACTTTCAAACCTGTGCAGACCGACGTTGTAAATAGCAGTTATAGGGGGGAGTCAAGCCTAGCCGATAGCTGGCAGACCGGAACAGCTAGCAGTGAAGATAACTTCTCGGGCAGCTCTTACGATCAAAGAGATGATTACAAAAGCAGAGGAACAGGTTTGACGGTTAGACTCAAGCTCAGTAACTTGAACTTTGAAAAGAAGAAGAAAAAGAAGAGTAGGTCGAACTTCATGAACGTTGTTCTAGAGAAGGTACCGGAGTGCAATTCTTTCGCGGAGGACATCCCAATCACTTCCATGCACGCAGCAACGGGTTCTGGTTCTGATTCAAGGAGTAGAGATACAGAGGTGGCTTCTCCCGGGCCGTTTGATCAAGGACAATCGAAGAAGATAGATCGGGTGGCTGAGCCTAAGTACATTTCGGTAATGGTAAATTAGTGTAGTTTGGGGACCCTCCACATTAGGTGGAGAGGTTCTAATGGACACGTTTATGCTGGTGCCTTGTAGTGGCAGTGGTGGGATGTAACCCTTGAGAATTTTTTGCATGTGACAACACGCCATGCATGATCACCTGCCGCAGGGCACATTTTGACCAAACACATATGGGGCTTCTAACCCCATGAAAGGTAGATTCAAGCTTTCAATCAGTACAGAGTCTTCAGTTTTCCTATGCATTGAGAAGGCCGAACCGGTAGCCCATTCCGTCAGTTTTTCTGAGGGTAGGGCCAGGTTCCCAGCATTTGTTTATAATGTAAGGTAATTATGAAGATGTTGATTCCTTGTTGTGGTGGAGCTGTGCGCTCTTCTGTACCGGTTGCCATGCGGTCAATTTTTGGTTATCAGGAGTGAATGTTTGCCGGAAACTCATCTGTCATAGGAGTGTGGTGTCTGTCTCCGCCAGCACGTAGCCTTCCCTCTATTTTGAATGATTATGTCAAGTTCAAGTTTCTATAACAGTCTTGAAATGCAATGCCAAGTATACTAGTAATCACAAGAAGCGCCCATCTTGTCTGCCCATGGCACTCGCCGCGCCCTGCCTGGGAGCCTGGAGACATGTTTTTAATACAGACTGCAATCCCAAGTCGTGGGATCGCACATGCCGTGGCTGCCTCAATCGCACTTTTTAAAATTCATCCTCCTGGCCACCTCTTGTGATTTCAAGTTTATCAGTGTCCTTCACTTTGCGCTTAAGAACAGTTGTCATCCTGGTGGCAACCTCTTGTTCGGTGTGGTTCTTACTGTTCGACTGTTCTTACGATGTGCTATTTAAATCTATCAAAAATCAGAGGGTCTAAAACTTTCCAGCTAACCTCTTATCCGTTGATCTAGGTTATGATTTTTTCAGTTATTTGTTGTTATTAGTTAATTGTTGACCTTCAATCGACGCTTAACAGGTACACTCTCTACAATCACTCCCCGAACATGAAGATCTTGCCTCTGGAGGTTCCCATTATGTTCCGTTCGGATCCTTGTTGCCTCAGTCTTGAGATCTTTTTTGTGTGCTCGTATTTATCACCGTTTCGGCGTCTTGTAACCTTTCAGGCTTCTTGCAGAATGTGAATCATTCCCCCGAGTTTACTCATGGGAAGCTGTATGTTCGGGCGCTTCAGATTAAGTCCAATTAAAGGTGAGCATACATGTTATCAGCAACTTTTTCCAGTCTTGGGTGGAATCATGGAACAAATGATGTTGATTATTGCACATGTCATAATCCCCACTATTAGAAAGAAGAGCAATGCAAGAAGGCTAGATACAGGAATTGAGTTCTGAGGAAAGCTTCATCATTAGAGTTGTCATAACACAGGTCCCGGATTGGGTTTAAATCCCCAATCCGAGTTGACAAGGGATGTGTCCTTCCAAAGGGACACAACCAAAGAACATCTCAGTCCTAACTATAAGGACTCTAACTGCACTAGTGTGCACAGATAGGAAGTAGGGAGTAAACTGTATTCTAACACTCACCAATGTATTCCTGGACATTGGTGGGGAGTACTCAAATGTACATTGAGATTAGCAGTATCGTGAGATCTGTTAACATGCCCTTGACCAGTATATCGAAGTTGTGCCGTTGGAGCCTCGAAGTCTCGACAGTTTTTTAGAGAGGGTAATACGGCACTAAATAAATTGGCTTTTCTCTTTCTTCTTAAGTTGCTTCGATATCAAGTAACCAATCTGTTGGTACATTGGACTCTCAACCTTTCTTCATCACCTTTATTTTCTTGCGCTTGAGTAAAGACTGCAAACCACTTTCACACAAGAATTCCTTCGTAAGGTATGCCTATCAAACATCGTCGCCAAAACCTTCTTCTGCCTTGACCTTCAAACTTCGTTGAGCTATCTTGAAGACATCTGTTCCTCAAGCAGAGTAACTTTTTCTTTACAGCAGTCAATCATTCAATCCTCAACTTGTATCGTCTGCTTGTTGCCTACCAATCTATTGTCAAGCACCTTTGTATTAGGTGTAAAAATAATGTACTACTTCCTTCCCAGTTTTTACACTCATTTGCACAAGCTAGGGATATAACTATCCTTCTAACTTACAGTGTTCACACCTAGAATCAACAGTCAGCTTATCTTATACCCTAGTGTCCTCAAATCCAGACTCCTCTCGAAACCAGCCTCCTTTTCCTGATTTTCTATAAAGCGCATATCGAGTACAATGTCTTATATTCTTGCTCAAACTAATTGCCTAACGCTTATTTGCGAGTATTCGTATTTTAATTTTCATAGTTTTCATGAATACTATGCATTTTTTTTGACTGAGTATGATAATCTATTGCATAAAAAAATAAAAATTACAATAATTCTTTAACAATGCTCCACATAGACATCTACTCGAAAACTTGAACCATTTTTCTTTGACATGAAGATATATTTGTAACTTATTAAAAAAAGTAAAAATAAACTCACTTTTAGTGCTAGATGTTGTAAATCACTTGATGTATCCAAGAAATTTCTTAATATGAGTGAAATCATTATTATTTTTTAAAATTATTATATTGTTTCACCTATGTAGTGAGATTTGATAAAGCGAGAGGTGATTAATTAGTTGACATTCGTTGGACTTTGGTTTGTACACAAGTAGGTAAAGCGTCGTGGGACTTTCAATCCCGTGTGTATCCAGTCTCATTTTTGAAGGTAAAATTTAGATCACACGTGGATAATTAACGCATCAGTAGATTGCTCGTATTACTGGATGAAAAATCCTAGCAATTGAAGACCTTGAAGTCACATTCCAAAACAGAATCTTTGATCTGAGCGACTGTCGAAAAAGCAAACAGGATGTTGAAGATTTAGAAATGAGGTAAAGAGTGAATTGAAACCTCCAATGAAAACAATCAAAAGAACGTCTCCATAGTCTAGTATGATACCTTCATTCTCCCGTCCAAATTCCTGTACAAAGTTATGCCTCTTGGTCGTCACAACCTCCAGTTCCCTTGAGTCTCATATATTTGGTGTTTATGCAAGGAGTAAATGAGGTGGATAATGTACTCTCGAGTCCTATAGGCAGGCACGGTTGTATTAGGCGACCGTATATACGGTCGCCTAAATTAACTAAACTTGATGGTGATTAGGCGACTAAATAAAGGTAGTTACGATTTGGCTTGTACATGTTATAAGCAATGGAGAGTGGACAAGTACGTAGAATTGATGGATTAAAATTTTTTTTTTTTATATATTAATGTAATTTTTTTAGAAAAAAATTTGAAAAATTTTTACTCTGAAAAAAGAGTTTTGTAAACTAAATTAACCTAAATTAAAATTTTAGAAATTAAATTGACCTAAATTACCTTTTTAGTGTACTGAATTAAAACTAAATAAAATTTGTAAGGAAACTAAATTCGCCTAAATTAATGTTTTTGAATGAACTAAAGTAAATTTTTCGAGTAGACTAAATTATACTTATTTAGGTAATTTAGGCGAGATATTATTATATCCATGCCTGCCTATAGGTCACCTTCAAATGCTTAATACATACAGCAACCTGTTGCAAGCAAGGGTTCCAAAACAGTGACTCATTAGTTCGACGTTCGACGGACCGTATGAAATGGATCAACGATGTCACATTTAAGCTCTAATTTTCACGGTCGTTAAATCTTCGTTCAAAATCCAGAAGGCAGCCGCGACGGGAGCTCATTTCCGATCGAGAACGTCCTAGAGAACGTAGCGTTCAATCATGAAGGAAGCATGAGACCGAAAGCAGATGTTAGAGCGAGTAGGAATTCCGTTTGAGAGGACATGCATTTGGTGCTGGTGCAAGTACCGGTACGGATCGATCAGCATTTGGAGACTCGAGGTTCAGTGAAGACACTGGCGGATTTTCATGCACATCCGATTCTCCGGCCAGATCGATCAGTGAATACTTCGATGAATGCGCTGTTAGCCACACATGAAAAAAGTCAGAGCGGGTGTGTCTTCTGCCGCTCGATTAGTCCTGGTGGCATTGAAATGAATATAATCAGCGCGTGTATTCGTTTCACGCACATCCATGAAAGGAATCAGGCGGAAGTTTATACACAGGAGAGTATTTCTCCGGATCAATGTATGCTTGGAGGACCGCGCCATTGGTCGTGTATTAGAGGGCCTCGTTCATTTTGAAACAACTGTTTTGGCAAAGGCGAGGGAGTGATCAGTTCTCACGTTACATGTGATCTAATCAATTTTCTATAGCAGGAATATTGGGAAGTTGTTGATTAACCATAGTATGAGAATTTCATCGTAAAATCTTTTATATTTAGAAGATTGATTCAAATTAAGTTAAATCTTATGGTTCAGAATCTCATTCACGTTGAAAGTTTCAGTCAATGTAAAATTTCCCTCTGGATAAGAATAGTTTTAAAATTTTGTACACAGCTCACAGATAAATGGTTCAAAGAAATGTCTGGTTTAATAAAAGATTTGCTTCGTTCTTTATTCTAAGATAAGATGTAAAAGAAGCTTCCTTGACCGGAAGAAACTTAAACTTTTAAAGCCAATAATTTTAATTTCATGAAAAAAATATAATCATTCACTCAACATACCACAAGAGGAAAACGAGTCCGCTACAATCGCACAGTAAACGGGTGTTACATCAAACAAGAAGCTCTCAGTCACTCTAAATATATTCGCGTATATAGTCAACAGTGCAGTCTCTTAGCAACTGCGAGGAGAATTGTGCTGCTTGATTGTATTTTTATGCAAACCTTAAATGTTCCAGTTCCTTCCGGAGAGTATTTCACTCTCTGTGCAGAACCGCAGCCATGGAACGTCTAATGCAGTCGAAGCAGCTTCAGCGATTGCTCTGGCTGGGCGCGGCCTCCGATCCCACACCACGCGCCTTCAGCGGCTCTCGAGCCGATGGCGCGTGCAGCTGTGGCCGTTACAAGATTGAGGTGAGAAGATGCTGTCCGCTGAGTCATCGAGCGAGCACTTGGGTGTCACCCGCGCCTCGTTCTGTCTCGATGAAAAGAGGACAGAAGGTTGTGGAGGTTGCACGACCCGATTCTTGTTTGTGAGTGGAGCGTGGCTCAGAGGAGTGCAGCTCGCGATGGAAGCACGAGGTGGTGGTGGTGGTGGCTCGAGAGGACGAGCTGCATGTAGTGCAGCACTTCAGAACTTCGACAAAGTCCGCATCGCCTATGGAACCCAGATCGGCAGCTCCGCGTTTCGACCGTCCTTTGCTGCCGACCGTGCACGGCGTTGCAAGACGGGACGATATTCTGAACGCTTTGTCGGCTCCGGGCGACCGCCGTATTTTCCTTATCCACATCCAGCAATTGATCTTAACAGCAGAAATGCTGCAAAACATTTTTCCTGCAAACGGCGTCCTTTTCTGAATTACAAATCTGCCCCTGGATATCGCACCCCTTCAAGATTCCAGCAGAAGGCGATTACGGCTGGACCCGCTGCAAACATTGTGAAAGCAAGGAACGGTGTCAATGACCATGTCATGCCGAAATCGGTCGCTGAAGCGTTGGCTAACAAAGTTGATTCACTTGGCCTTCCAAGTCCTACTTCCTACAGTTCTACGCTTTGTGTAGCTGGCTTACCACGTGACTGCTCGGCACGAGAGGTTGCACACATTTTTCGTCCTTTCCGTGGGTTCAAACACGTCGAGTTGGTTCTGCCCGGTGGATTTAGAGGCCCGACGTGTGCCTATGCGCATTTCGAGAATTTTTCTTGTGCTGCTGCTGTGCTTAGAGATGTCGATGGGTATAAATTTGACGAAAAGAATTCACATCAGGATGATTTCATTCGTTTATCTTGGCATTTCGACAAGAACCTCTGAGCACCAGGTGGGAAGGGTTTTTTGTATATATCTACCATGACCTGCAGTAACTGCAGCAGAAACTAGGGCTTGAATTCAGGAATGTGTCCAAACGTTACTAGAAAGTAGCGCCGCTTATCATACAGCAAATTTTCTAGGAAGGTGGTCAACGCAGTGTCACTTTGGCAAGTGTTGTTGAAGTTGTCGATATGTGTAGTTTATAGTTACCACATTTCCCCCTTTAGCGAAAAAAGTGGTGTAAAAATTGGTTCGCTTGAATTTCAATGGCGTAGCATCAATATTAATTCCAAGTCGATCAGAAGCCAATTATGAGGCAAAAGTGGCCATCTAGACTACTGACATGTACATCGTAAGCTATGCATTTTTGATGCATTGCACGTGCAACGCAGTATGCTTCTCGAGCTGGATTGCTTAACTTCATTCACTATGTCAATTGTATCTCAAATTACAAGTATACTATCAGATGCTTTTGTGTGTATATGATATACTGTATGTGATCCGTTTGCACAAGGCTTAACCAACATCTCGTTCTCAAACTTCACCAAATTTGAAATAATCACGGCATGTAAGGCCCTCGAATTTTCGGCACGAACGACATCAAAGCTTGTAGCGCGCCGTGAAATATCGATACGGCGCGCTTAAAACTTGACCTACATTTCAAAGCACAGTTGTGACAATCACCTGCATGATAACAGATCACAAGTTTCATGGAGCTATAAGCTTTGACGGGAATGTGATCTGCACAGTTCAAGTGTTAACGACTTTGGTGTCCATTGTTCACCAGACTAGGAACCCGGGGAATGTTATCTTCAAAGTTCTAAATGCAAAAGACATTTCCTCCAATCGAGTTTAAATTTTGACTTAACTTCCCGCATTATACTTAAACCAAGAATATTCAAGTTGACACATTGATTATGATATAGAAGAAGTCTTTGCTGGTTAATGTAGGTTCCTTGGATGATTTCCTAACATTTGTTCATATCATATAACTTTTTGTATACTTTACCGGTCATAATTATTTTCTTATCCCTCGATATATAAAAATATGATAAAAGAATATTCGTGTGTTTTAACTCCGGGAACAGTTTTCCTATCTTTCATTTTATCACGAAGCGTCATACAAATTGTTTCTATACGAGGAATGATTATGTCACACTTTACTGTTTCATATGACGATATGTATAATATCGTGTGTTTTAACCATGATGTATACAACACACCATTCCATTTTTTATAATTGATATCTATGTTTCAATCTTAAAAAATGTTGTCGATGTTTAAATTTAGTTCCAAAAATATGACCACCAATTTTTTTTTTCCTTCCCTTGCTCTCCGAGTGCGAGTTCACTTTAATGCAAAGCCGTGACCATTTCCCTACCTAGACATCTCGTGAGCGGTTCATAAACTTCATTGACATTCTTCCTAATCTGCCGGGTTGCACGCTGCTTCCTTCATGGCCACCGCAGTCTCCTCATTCCCTGAAACACTCCAGACATTTGGCTGTTCAATTTTGGCTCGGGCGGTAGAATTATATTTCACCTGTCTCAAGGTCGCAGGAAATTCGATGCGATCGCTTAGTGTTGGCAGCTCAGAAGAATATTCGGGGCTATTGTTGTCATTGACCTCATGATCGTGATTATATTATTGTTTTGTCATTGTTTCCTCTCTCAGTTGTCCGTTTGGCCTCCTTGTCCATCATGGTCCCTCGGTCCCTCGACGGATGAAAAAAAATTATATAGGACGCAATTTTATGTGCCACTGAAGATCAAATTTGACATCATCTTCCGTTCCGGAATGGGGCAAGGCAGCAACGGCTGTCAGTTTGAATTCGAATCTTGCAAGAATTTAAACTTGGCGGTCGGACTTTTGCTAGACCTTTCGGGATTGCATTCAATAGACCAGAATAATGCACTCCAGAGATTTCACGTTTTACTTGGCTCGAGAATATTACTTGATTGGACCTGTGAAACCACCCACGAATTACCATCATCATTCTAAAAAAAGTTCTTGTAACTATATCCGACATGTTATACTGTGGGGGAGTGACGGCCCATATCGGGCTATAATTTGCGGGGGAGTGAATGCAATATCGTCTCGTATGAAAGGGAGATTAGTCCCGGTATCCAATAGCTCCCCCAAAGTTCTGCTTCACAGCGACAATTGACAGAGAGACTTTCATTGTTTGACTTTTTTAACTTGGCAATAACTTGCGCAATTCTTTGGAAATCACGACATGGCTTGCTGTTGCGGCAGGCACTTCGTAATTGGATTTAGTTCTGCACAGCGGTTGCTAGGTTAGAATCGGGTGCTGTGTTGAGTCGACCTCTGAACGAGGTGATGATTAATCTAATGATCTGACTGTCCTTCACTCCTACACAAGATCGGGATATTTAAGACTGAAGTAAACAACACAGTTCTACAGCAAAACGAATGGGGTTGTTTGTCACAGGATCATCTTAATGAGGTATTTTACTTCCTGTACGTCACATTCTATTATGGGCATACGAATCTGCAAACTAGATTGTAAAAGTCGTCAATGAGCGAGGTTTCTCGATATGCCCGCACGAGGATGTTTTTTGTACATACTCCCTTCTCTTTCGTGAGAAGGTGATGAAATGCGCTCACCAGTTTCGTCTTGTAATGGTTTGTTGAGTGTGACTTGGCACATCCGTGGGGTATCTGATTGATGTGAACCCTCGTCCAAATCAGTGAGCAAAGCATTTCAATGGACTTGCATATAATCTGTTGCACCTTGCGTTACCGTGTCCTCCAGCATATCTCGTCGGTACGGATCTCCGTATTCTCAGTTCAACTACTGCAAAGTTTCAAGCTTCAGATATGAACATCGGGGTTCATATCTTACAACAAACCATTACATTCAACCGTGATCCGAGCGTCCGAGCTTGAAAAATTACTGTGTAGCACAGATTGTAAATGAGGCAAGAACGTATCAATTTTTTCTCATAGGGGTTGTGTTCTCAGGACATGCTTTGGTGGGCGATTGGGAATGCTGATGTTCAGTTATATACTCCTTTCCAACCAGTATAGTTGTCTTATAATTTAGATAGATCGCAAGACCTATTAGCAATAATGCATACCCTCTGAAATATATATTCTTTCCTTTCATAACAAACATAATGTCATTAAGAAATTATGTTTGTATAGTGACATCAAATATATATGTATTATAAATTTTTCAGTGCAATGAATTACAAAGACATAATAGATTTGGAATAATATCACGATCACATGATGGATGGATGAAGCCAAGGTAGAAACTTGTTTATCTAAAATAAGTGGTTGATGCAATTCACGCCATGGTGTATCGTTGAGCTAAATCCATGAATTTAGATAGTTGCTACAGCAAAATTTTTTAAGTGACAAATTTGTAAGAAGAATGACAAGTTTCAGTAAGAATGTACAATGATAATGATTTTGTTCCGGCATATTCATTATTTGGTCTAGATTGTTGAGACCATCCCACATGTTTATCGTAACCACTTCAACTCTATGCTCTTATTTTATTTCAGGTTCTTTGATTTTCAGATTCTCAAAGCACTGCTGACATGCATTACATTCTTCAGAAGTTTGTATTCTTTATTGGGTACATAATGTTCTAAAAGAGGTCTGTCAATTGATGTGCAAAGTGAATAGGTCGAGGTACAAGGTAGATTAGCTACTCAGAAGTTGAATATTCCGCAACAATAGCTAAATCCATCGAACCATTTTTTCCAATATCATTTGGGAACATACAACTCCACAGCAAATGAGAAAAAAAGCAAACATGACTCCTAAGAACAAAAGGGGGTTGAATATCATTTCAGAAATCAGATCAGAAATGTTTAAATAGATCTGCAGCAAGCTTCAGATTCTAAAGAATGTGAATTTATTGAATCTGCTCCAGAAACTCACGAACAATGTCCATCATATCATTCTTGACGTCAGGCCATCCGAGGAACCACGAAGCTCCGGTCCACTTCAGAAATTGAACTCGATGGTTAGGAATGCAAGCAGATATAGGAAAAGAAATTCCATTGTTAATGGATTACATTGAAAAGAAATGTACACGTTAGGCAACCAATTCTCCTTACTTAGATCAGTCACAACTCCATGTCCGGTGCTTAAACTGCCCTCTAGCTAGATTAAACAAATACTCGCCGGCGCTACAAATCCGAACGTGCGTGAATCTTCAACACTTATGGAGTCAGAAATGACAAACCTAATTAAACCTGATGATCATTCGATTAACTTGAGTCAGCTTTAGAATCAAAGTGCTCGTCGAAGAAGGACCTCCAGTACCTGTTACGCTACGCCATGATTTCACACTGTTTCTTTCAGAGTGAAAGGCTCCTTGACTGGCAGTATCAAAGAGAGAAATTCTACCTATATCTGCATCTGCCGCTTCTTAATGTCTGTCTCATTCTTGAGGGCTTACTCAAGGAGCCGTCTTCCATCATCATCAGGAACGACTTGTGAATACACACATGCTGAAATGGAGATGAAGCAGCAAAGAACGAAGTCATGACGTCCGCCTTCTTATTGTCGCTCTTGGTCTGATTCGCCTTCACTTGCTGCAGCAGTTGCAAGAAAATGATCAAAGGATCCATGTCCAATCCAATCCAATCCATCCCGGATCATCATACTAGGGTATCAATCGAGCACATGATTTTGTGCTGCATTCACTTGACCAAGAAAGTGTTCATGATTTAAATGCTCTTGATTGGCCACAGGCTGAGGCTGAAGCTGAAGCTGCGCATCTCTTCTTCGCCTACAGCAATAATCAAGAGCCAGAAAGAAGCACCCGAATGCCATGACCCCTCCGACCATCATGACGACGACGGCGACGACAACAATACTTAACCCAACGGACATCGTGCTCTCGATGGGCAGATTTTCACGTCAGTCGTACGAGCCACCTGCGAAACTGCTGCAAGAGCCCAATAAGTTGTAGCATGACCTCAGCTTGATTTCAACACCTGTTGGCTGCAGCAATGGGTGACTAGAAGGTTCTGATTGCTTCGATTGAGATCTCCCGTGCATTTTCTCCTCCCTCGAGAAAAGTAGCTCGATAGAGGCCCTACACTTACGATAACTTCTGTATCGATAGAGGGTGTCCCTCAAGATTCGAATACTTTGGCAGATCATCTACGAGAACCTAATCCTCGACCGGCATTGAGGTCATTTCGACCATCCTCGCAGCTGCTTGCAACGCTGAAGGAGAGCATAATCTACAAGGCCTGCGTCCGAGAAGCCAGGCTCTTGTTAACCAAAATACCGAGGCCGATGCAGAAGCCGAACATGGAAGCAATGCAATGCGAACCCTACATCGTAGACATTTCTGCACGGTGCCATACAAAGCTCTAGAAGTCAGTAGGGACCGGGAGTTTTCTAATTTTTGCGATGAAACTCAACATCGGCCCACCGCTCCATCGAAGCAAAGTACCGATTTACAAGATCACGGCTGAAGATGACAAATGCGAAGGAAAACCGGGCCTTAAACTAGAATGCAATTTAATCTTGGGACTCCTCTCTCCTGATATATGATATCTACTCCATGCAAATTAAAACCATCCAGTGGCATGTATAAGATAGATTTGTGAACCATGGGATTCAGCATTTCAGCATTCTCGGGAGCATGTCGAATATTTGGCTTTACTGGACATGCTCCTGTGCGTAGAAGAAACATATTTTTATTGAACAAGTAGTAATCTAATTTCAAGTAATTTAGGCGTCTTGTTTACATGTTCATTGGGTTTCACTAACATTATAATGTATCGAGAAATGCAGGAGAAAAACCTAGAGTATGCTTGCACAGATAGTATGCAAGCAGACTTGACTCGGGCAGTACGTAGTTCGACTCTAGCTACATACACGGGAACATAACGTTGTAACTAAAAAATCTAGAAACAATGTTTGGGATGAGATACGAAGCAAATAATTTTAATTGGGGTGATCCGGTTTATTATTTGATTTGAATTATCACACACAATCTCCCCTCTAACTCATGTTGCGAGTATAGTAAGCTCCATTGTTGACAAATTACTTTATGAAATTTGTTGGATTGAAATCTAACATATTCTTCATTTTAAACTAGAACTCATTAGTATTAAATCATAGCCAAACAAAATAAACTAAAAATTGCTAGTAACTCTACTTGCGCTACTCATGCAAAAGTTGCATAGTAACACAATTCATTGTACAAATTTCCAAAAAAATAACTTCGTTCAATACATTAGGTGGATTGAATTTACCTTCAATCTTGATTAGTTCAATTAAGATTGCATATTTAATAAAGTGATACATGGTATCTATGTGTAGAGTGAAACACACGGTATCACATTATGTGTTTCACTATGTACTACATAGATTGATCATTGAGCTTAGGAAAATTTGAAATGTGTTTCTAAAGAATTTTATACTCCTTTAGAGTTTATCATGTTAAACACATTCAATGTACTTGCCTTGACTCATTTACAGGTTTTTCTTCTCCAAATTCTTATGAATATCCATTCAAAATATCATTTTGAACTTATCCAAATTCTTTATCTTATATACATACTTTAGTTGATTCTTGCATCTATTGAGGATGTTTCTATTGGTGTTGCTATTGGATTGAATGTTGTGGATAATTTCATGTATCCATACAAAAAATATTACGCTCTAGTGATTGGGAGAAGGTTTCGGTTGTACTTGATTTGGTCCGATGCCATTGTTCAAGTAATTAGCTTTCCAGGAAGAAATATCCATAAAGACTTTAGAACTAGAACAGAGGCTGATTTCTTTGTTCAGCAGGTTCACAAGAGTGCCAGGAATCATTGTAGAATGTTGATAGACTTTGAAGACCAAGGTATCGTATATGCTGGTTGAATTCTAATCTAGACAATGCTTTGGTCAAGAAATCGGCTGGTTGTAACGCGATAGAGAGATAAAACTATAATTTTACCAAAAGCCATCCATTCTCTGATATACTGAAGTTGGATCCCTATGTGTTTACTCTTTGCATAGAAGACATGATTTTTAGCGATTAAATTCGCTAAAAATCATGTTTTGTTGTCACATTGAACGATTGTTGACTCGCTTAGTGAAACAAACATCTGAAATGCAGAAGTTATCTTCGTGTCTTTGCACAATAGTTTTATTGGGATCAGCACTGTTGGATTGACTTCTTGCATAAGTTGTCTCAACCAGATGATCCAAACGGTAGGACTTTGTATTCGCACTCAGTTGATGAAAGCAAGACAAGATTTTGCTTCTTGAAAGATCATGAGGCCGCTCTGCTTGTAAATGTGAACGTTATGACTGAGTCGTTCAAAGAGTCGAGTCATGAGCTCTTAGTTGCGTTAGTGTAACCTCCTAGTTGGAGAGAATGACCTCGTTTGAACGAGATCACGTGGTCGATTGTGCCTTTTTGGTAATCTAATGTCTGAAAAGGAAACTCCAAATGCGCTTCTTCTAGTGATGCCTTGAAACGCGATAGATGTCTCACAACAAAGCAAATGTCAAATCTTGAATTGATGGCAAAAAGCAGTTGTCATTCTACATAATCATTGCATGTAATATACATGTCGTCTACATGAAGCATCTCAAGAAGGTTATACTTAGAATGTAAAGGTTTAACGCATAATCATTACGTGATTATGAGCTAAACCAAAGATATTTATCTATGCATTTGGACTAAGTACTAGGTGAGTAAGAATATATGGACGGTAAATCATGCTAGCTTTAATTGAGGAAATAAAACTATCCCAACTAGCAAGTAAACTCATGAGTATTAGGAGAACGAGTTCCTAATTTTTGATTTTATTGTTGCAGTTAGACAATTGATTAGTAAGATATTTCACTGCAAGCTTATGAGCTTTAACAGATTGGACCTCCTGCATAGAGAGATTCTATACTTTTTGACGTAATAGTTGCCTTCGATCTTTGCTAGCTGTTGCAAAAACAATCTCCAATTCTTACTACATAAGGTCTGGGTAAGGCATGGGGTGATTAATGTGCTCATCATCATATAGTAGATGGCATCGTCACGATGTTTGGGAATATTGTTTATTTTCTCCTAGATCTCTTGTTCGCCCTCACCTTCTTGCTTGGCAATCTCTGCTACCACAGGTGCTTGACTTGACTTGTTGTTCCTTCAAAGACATCGAACTCGAGTAAAAGCGTTGGAGGAACAGTGCGCTTCTCAACGGCAAAATTCTTGCGTAAAAAAGACCGCATTCGCACAACTCATGATCTATAATTATCAATGCCATCTAGGTTATGAGTTGGTTTGATTTCCTTCGCTTCTCTCAACGTGTCCATGACTACTAAGTGAATGGCGGAGGAAGAAAAACATGATGCTAACTTAGAAAGTCAAGGCATTTGCAATCATGACATGAGGATGAGGAAAATACTTGAATAGCATGTTAGAAGCGAGTGAATCATCTTCTGATTGTTACTAAATGAATGTTGATATATACAGGAGCAACGTTCTTGAACCTATACCCTAACCCTGAAGTTAAATCCTCAACCCTAGATAAAATCCCTCTAAGAGTACTATTAGTGCGTGGGACAGATTCTTTTCTCTATGAGTCCTTTATGGATATAATGGTCTGTCGCATGTAGTAGGCCATGGTAAGAGCAGCGACAGGTTGTAGAATCCATGCTTTTTGTGCATCACCTGAAATTTTCCGCCTAGTACCATTAGTGTCTCAATAATTCTAACAGATAACTCTCGCTGACCTACGTGTACTCGTTGACATTTGTGTACTTGTACGCGACCTTTCAACTGTCAAGGGAGTCTTGTATCTTGACGACGACCAGATTCTGGTATTCGTCAAAGAAGGTGAACTCCGAGTCAATGATATCGCTGGAAGTTTAGTCGACTCTCTTCTTGTTTCCTCCAATGGTGGCTTTGTCCTGCATGAATTCCTAGATATTTGATTACGAAAGTAAATTGTTAGATGTATAGAATTTGAAAGTGAATTCTCATTGATATTCATAAGAAAAGTTGTTAATAGATTACGCAACTCAATATTTGTAGATGTTTAAACTTTTCACTAAAGCTATTTCGACCGCATCACTTTTCCCCGCATACAGAGTATAATCTCCCAATATTGACAAACACTGGTGCTAGGGATTGACATAATTACTCGGAGGTTCAGTCAGAAGAGTAAAGTATGCAATCTTCTTATCATAGGTATAGGATTACACCAATACCACAACATTCTATAAGTGTGTTGTTCGGTTGCAAGATTGAATTCATTTGCTATTCTATATTGTTCACAACAATCAACCTTGGCGCTATTCTATGTATGTTATTGCAAAGAAACATAAGCGTTTGGAAGTCAATACGAAGTTGGCGAGCACTCTCAATCAACCTAGAGTAACTCATGAGCAAACAACATCAAAATTTTTGATTTCATGTCCAACTGTTTCAAAGATCTAGAAGGAGACAGAAGTTAGCAAGCATCTGGCATTGGAATCGAATCAAAATGAGTTAAAATTTTTTTTTATATCAACTCAAGTGCAACTTCTTCCGTACATGGTACATCAGTGACATGTGCACATTGAGATCAATGCGTGCACACTGAGTGTGACTTGCGAGATGCTCAAGAACAAGATTTTATTTTCGTAGACAAGATCTTGCATGTTTTGTGGAAAGCTTGAAATTATTAGATACCATTTTTCTTCAAACGTTTGTTGCAGAATGGCCGGATAAGTATCTGGAACATATCTCTACATTTAGCAAGAATAAATGGCAAAAACATAACGGCCTCAATTTCATGCAAGTCAAGAAAAGTTTGCATGAAATTTATAGAACGTTGATCAATGTATCACTTGAATACATTATCAATGTTGACGACTCAGCTTTATAACATCGCACAACATCATCAACATCAAATTGCACAATCAATTCAGATGATCGTGATGTTAAGCAAAGAAAAAAATAAATCATAATGATACTTGGAGTCAAAGTTTCATGTGAAAAATAATCACACAAGTTATAGCAAAGAACACTCGTCCACGTGCTTTAAAGAATATTTTTGATATCAATAAAGTGTTCGGAATCATATATAATTATCAAAATAAAGCTTGGTAATATATATTGTGTTATATGCGCTTGCTGTACAAGTAAAATAGAAATATGCAAGAAATTTGACAGTATGAATTTTTCTCAATGTCACTAGGTCTTCATGACATAAATTTTCACCAAGTTGCCAAAGATCTATTTGTGTTTTAGCACTGATTGTAAGCTGAGAGACCAACAAGTGACTTGCAATTTCATCCAAGCAACATATTGCTTGTATAGAGATTGTGCCCATCGCCTTCTTCTTGCTTAGTACCTGAACAGAAAATGACAGAGAAATTTGAAGACGACTAGTGTAAGTTGTTTGCTACTCTTGGATCTTGATAGAATGCGAATCGAGATAAGATTTTCATGTGGCGTGTTTTTTCATCATGACATGTACAAATGAACGTGGCTCTCGTATAGGATACGGAAATGGTCTCTACTCCAGTGATTGCATCGGCTTATAATCTATTTTCCATATTTGACTCTATTGTCACCGCTCGGAGTACTTGGTTTGCAGGGGCCAAGTTGCGTTTGGACAGTGCTGGCCACAGGATTATTTTGGAGCAAGCCAAAAATCTTCTGCATCTTTTGAACCTCGGTGTGTAGAGATCAAATGCTACTCACGGCAGAGCACAGTGGATGATGATGACGGAAATATGTATGCATCTTTGGCTAAGCAGGAATCAGGTTCTATAGTCTAGTCTACTTGTCAACGTGAACATTCATGCTAGAGTTTGCAACACAGTTGACAAGGCATAAATAAAAGGCTGAGCATGGACTTCTGTAACCTTTGATGACGGTTTGCGAAAACTCACCAAATGGGGCCCATAAGGTCAAAAACTATACCGTGCTTAATGATGTCATGACCATCCCCCATGCCTCCAACTTATAGAAGTTGTACAGGAAAGAAGCCGCATGTGGAGTTGACTACTTGCCGAACGTCTCTCTCTCAATCCTTTTACCTGACATCGTTTAAAAGTACCACATCGTTTAAAAGTTAATACGGACAATAACCACCAGTCTCAAAATCTCCCATTCACATGATCTGCTAATCGGCTAATTTTTCCTTTTGTTAACACTTGTTACAGTTAGCATCTCTTGACTAAAATATGACACCCTTCTAAAGAACTAGATTATCTTGAGAGAAAACAGTTGTTTCCCATAAGCCCTGGCGTTTCGGAAAAGAAATCAATTTGATAGTTCCTATCGCGCCCAAACAGTTCAAACGTCTATATATATATATAAAAGAAAAATAACCACATTTGCTTGGTTAAGGATTAAGACCATTGTGCTTTGCTGACTTTGATGTATTCAGACGATTACGCCACAAGAGAAGAGACGATAGAACTGCCACGTACGATTGCATGATAGCGACATCCTCTTGGGTCGCGAGGACCTCCAGACCTCTGTCTGGAGGTTGGTCTTTCCTGAGCATTGATGATCCCTCTGGCCCGTAAATTCCCCAAAAGCGGAGAGTACATACTCACCGCTTTCGGGGGAGTGCGGGCCGTATGGCGTTGGATCTTGTAACTTCATCCTCGTGTAACATCCTTTCGACCAATGAAACGAGGAAATAAGATCCAACGCATTATCATCCAATCATCCAATGTGGCTGCAGGAATATATCGGTCTTTTTGACAAGCACGTGCGGGATTGATTCCTCAAATCTACAAGACAAATTATGTTCCTTGTTGCTGTCACTGCAGATCTTACCAAAACCAGATTGGCTTCAGGCCCGCGCGTACTTTAAGTACATACTGGAGAAATAGCGAATTCACAGCTTGCTTATGGACAAGCGCTTTCCAGAGCATGTTGTAACTTCTCCACTACTGATGACTCCATTTCTGTGAAGGCTTGTATCCAAGCTTGTATTGTGAGGGCTGGCTTTTGGAAAGGTTGACCATGTTAGTCAAACCTGGTTCCTGGAGTTGTATACTGTGACAGCGAAAGCGAAGTGAACTTCAGTGTAGATGCAACCGCTTGAGAAAGGTCTGACGTATAAGATGTGCAGAACGGGCGTTCTTCAGCACATCACTAACGTCCGACCATCTGGACTTACATCTCATGATGAGCAACAGTACCAGTGTCTTAATTTTGAGAAAACATGGAGGTAAGCTACGTGGGCGGGTGCAACTCCATATAACAACTGATTTTTTCAAATCAATCTTATCACAATTGAAAAATCCAGGAGTTATAAATATCATGCAGATAGAATAAGGAGAACACGTAGATGTTGAAACTGATGAGAAGATCCCGTCATGCAAATTAAAATATGTATCTGTCTTTTAATGACATTGTGGAACTTTCATAATGGTTTGTGGTTTATAAAGTATTTTGATAAGTCCAAGTATTGAGGTCAGTTACAGTTTAACTCTAGCCGGACTGATTGAGCTCGAGCACACATGGAATAGTTTTCTGGTGTATAGACTGACATCATATAAGCACAAGGGATGCTTGTAAGAAGCATCTGTTCGATTGATTATAGATCATGCTAGCACATTCCACAGAGAAGTTAATCCACGAGGGAAGGGAATACAAGGATCATGACATATACTCAATAGAGTTAGACTTGAGCAAGCCAAGGTGGAGGAAAATTTAGCAATTTCCTTGTTTGAGATAAAAACATGTGAGATGTAAAACTTCTATTCAATAAACCAAAATTCGCTTTATAAAAACAAGGGCTAAGGTTAAAAAGTTTTCGAATTTTTTTTTTTTTCATCTACAGGAATATCCAAACGAAAAACTAAGTCTTACCAAGATATAACTCTATACTCCTTGTTCTAGGAAGTCTACATTGTTCAGAAATATCTTCACCAAAGTAAAACATCCGAGTTCCATCCCCTTCACTTGACACGCTAAAATCATTATCATACGATGACAGAAAAGTGTTGAAATTTTATTGTTGTATGAATCCTAGAAAATCATTCAATTTAACAAAGAAACCGTGAGGGAAAAGATGGAAAAGAACCCCGATAAAGGCAGTGAAAATGAAAGCCTGGCATCCGATGCAAACAATCAGTCGAAGGAGTCTGGCTAAGTATAGAAACCTTTCTACTCCAACGGCATCGACACTGCTGAGTGATGATCTTGCTAATTTTATTGCTGAGTATGCATGACTGTATGTATCTCCAGTCAAAATAGTCTAATGAGAAGCAAGTTGCGAAGATATCACTGAGAGTGTGGATTGGACCTCCAATATGAGCTGATGTGGATGACAAGTTGTTCACTCCATTTTACAGCTTAACTCGGAGCTGCTAATCGATGCTGCTGAGTTCAGTCTTACAGCAGTAGGAGGACTTATTGCATTCGATTGTGAAGAGACAAATTAAATGTAGAAACTAAGGGGCCATCCATATGGACCTTGAATGTGGAAGCCGCGGCTAACGTGAACTTGGACACGGCAGCTCGTCATGGTTACTGGAAGTCTTGTTTGAGGTTGGAGAAAGTAAACCCGGTCTTCGGGCTGCTGTTCCTCGCGCCCTTTGAGACTATAGTCACTACGATGTCAGTGTTGTAATCTGTGATGCCCAGTCGTTTCAGAGCGGCATTGACGGAGTAGCGGATGGTTACAATTCGGAACTTGTCGTCTGATTCGCTCGCCGATTCAGAAACAGATTTGCTCATGTCCACCATGCCACTCGGTAGATGTGTGAACGTACCCACAAACTCCGACATGTAGAGACGGGTCCGCCGATTAGCTGCCGGGTAATTGATGAACACGTCAAATCTGGCGTATTCTGAATGCGGGATCTTCACCCTCTCCAGCACCACGTCCTCCTGCAACTGATCCACACTCTTCACTCCCTTATCTCGACAATCTTTGGTAGTTGGAGCTCGACGATCCAGCTTAAAACTTACAGGATCCATGCCAATGTAGTTGTATCCTGATGGAACCGGTGCAGGATACTCACTGGAATTACAGGTCTTGGAGGACTCCTGGGCAGGCAGGGGCTCATAATATATCCACATATTGTCAGATTCACTAACGTCTGTGTACTTGTACCCCAGCTTGGAGCTGTCAAGGCTGTCCCTCACCTTGACGATCACCATATCCTGATTTTCGTCGAAGAAAGTGAACTCGGTGTCCAGAAAGTCCCTGGACATGAAGTCCATTCTCTTCCTGTCTCCGGATTTCGTGACCTTGTCGGGGATGGTTTTCCATACGTCCCATAGGCGATCGACGTTGGAGTGATGAGTGTAGAAAATGGGATCCCGAGCGGCGTAGATGAAATTGCCCATGTCTTCGTTGTCAGGGTGATCAGGGTCATTGATGAGCCCTGTCCACTCGTGAGCTACGTTGTGCACACTCTCCATCCCGCCGGATTCTCCGGGAGTTTCACCCGCGCTGACATTGACAGTTGCAGCAGAATTATCAGTCCCAACGACGTAAGGTCCTCCGAGAAAATCTCGAGCGCTGATTTTCGTGGTCACCTGGTTGTACATGACACACAAGTTCTCGTATTTGATTTGTTGGTCCGTTAGATTCTGTTGGCCTTCTGCTTCGAGCTTGGAGTTGTATCCCAGATACAAAAGCTTGGGAGGGAAGTGGTTGGAGTTTCTGAACTCGTCGAAGAGGGCAGCGTTGGGAATGCCGAAGTTGGGAAGGAACATGGCGGGCATCTTAGCTGCGTCCTGGTCCAACTGGTTGTCCCAGTTCCAGAAGGGAAGGGCGAAAGTAGGATCATTAATCAAACTGGCGAGAATTCTCTCGTGGTAGTACAGATACATCCGATGCCACGGAAGAAACGTCCAGCTGTAGTGAACCTGGAGCAGAACCCCGGTCTCTGGGCCGAGAGGGCCTGGAGTCTTTCGCTGCCTGAAGGCCTCGTTACAGAAGGAGCAGTGGACCCTCCACTGATTGAGGAAACTTCTGGGATCAGTGTCCGGGAGGGCTTTCATTCTAGCGTACGCTAGATTGTACTTCCTGACATACTCGGGGTCGTTTTGCAGAATGTGCGCGGGTTTCCTCTCCCTGAGAATTGGGCGACCACTGAAAGTACGAGGTATACGCGGAAATCTAAATCTGATTGGAAATCTTCTGGGAGCAGGCAGACAACAATGCAGTGGAGCTCCCTTTAGCACTGGAACAGGTTTGCAGAAGCCCAGACTTGACGCAAGTACTGGTTCTGCGTCGACCATTTCTGTAAGAGCTTGCAAGCAGAACACGACAGCGCAGGTATATAGGGCCCACTTGAGCTGTTGACGCGTCTTTGAAGCACTGCTTCTTCCCAAGCATTCCTTCCCTTGCAGCCTTGATTGTGGAATCCTTTTCAAGCTTCCGATGCTTGACACTGAAGTGGTCATATCTGTGGCCATGACGTTCGGGATCCTGAGAACGTTGATGAACTGTAAATCAGTACCAGAGTTAGGTGCTCTCATGAAATGCCATCTTAGTGCGCTTAGCAAGCTGAATCAGCTGAAAACAATGTGAATGTTTAGAGACAAATACTCTAGAACCTTACAATTTCATGTCAGCTAAAATCAAACTCGAACGCCTATCGTAATGCTCTGCAACTAATAACATATCTGGGCACCAGTATTGACGAAAGTTTAAGCAAGTCTTGTTAGTTTGACATGTGAGTTCTCGCATGTCAGACTAGAAGTTTTGGTACACCTCAAGACTTAAAATCCGAACCAAAATTTACAAATATCCAATCTGGAACAGAAATTTATTGCACCTCAACAGATCTTACTCGATGGGCTGTTGTGGTCAAGTGTTGAGGGCTCGAACGCCAGGACACTGTCTTCAGTAGCGACCTCAAGCGCTGTTGAGGCAACAGAGGACTGTCAGCGGCCCTGATGACAATGACAAGCTTGTCCGAAGGGACAAGACTTGAACTTGGGAGAAGTAGTCTGGAGATGGCAGCTTTATAGTGTACTCGGCCCGGAACATCCATGTCTCCAGTAAATTTATTCCCTAAAAAGGATAAGTAACTGATAATACAATTCCAGCCTTTAGCTCAGTAACAACATGAATGGTCCTGTTACTCATCTGGGTCCAGCCATCACGCGTCCGTCTCCGGAATCTACTGTCGAGAAACGGACCTCTCAAATTCGCCAACTCCTCCTGGAAAATTAACTTGCACAAAGAGAAAGCAACTGATCCTCAGGAACAGTAGTCTTGTGGCATATGAGTAAATGGATTTTGTTGTTAGCCGGGATGCACAAGGATAATGTAAACAGGAAAGATACAACTTGTTAGGAAAACAGGAGCAGTCTGCCTATTCAAGTGACCGCAGAAGGATATCGAACGAAGATATCTGAGAGATTCGTAGTAATGCAAGGTTCCGCTACAGAAGCTAGATCTCTGTTGCTGAATAATTGATAATCATTTCCTTACGCATAGCATTTAGCAGCTAAGGGTGAGAGCTTCGGCCTCTTGGAGCATGAGAGTTTCTCGAAGATATAGAAATCAGAATTACATATCTCTATCCGATTGACAAATGCATGCTTGTGACGAATGTGGAAGACAGATTAGTGGTTGAAATGTGACGAGTTTACAGTACTGAAGACTAGCATTTTCATCATGACATTGCGATCATAGGCCTGAATTAACAAAAGAAGTATTTTTAAAATGAATGATATTAAGCCTAAGACTGATGAGGATACAATGTCATGTATGGAGAGTTCCTGATACTCCTTCTGAAACCTCAGTGTACATTACAAAAATATGGTTAGGTACTAGCAAGTACGTGCAAGGCAGAACCATTTGATAGACCCCCTGAGTCAACGGATGTGACTGAAAAAATCACGACGCGACGTCTCCTTACTTAGTCTGAAAACAGGGATTAGTAAATCTGCATGATTGATAAGAGCTTAACGGATTCACTGCAGGAGAGACCAAGTAAGGTGATATTTACTGTCGGCACGATTTAGCCTGACAGTGTGATTGTCACTGCAAGTGACGCGGAGATTTAGATAAGACATGCTGGCAGGATGTAGTCGAGATCACGTTGTTAATTTGTAGTCAACACCTGAGTTGTCCTGAAACTACAAATAGGTTCATTCCCTCCCTTTTCACCGAATGTAGCTTCTCTGCGTGATTCTGAAATTCAACTCACATAAATTCCAGTCATGGCCACAGCAGAAATGACGCATGTGATATTAAGGACAGGGAATGAAACTATACAATGAAAATTAAAGAATTTAAATTTTTGATCAAATCATTAGGTGACAAGGATTTTACCGAATTCAGATATAATCCAGCCTTGCTATTATTGACATTTTTGAATCACAAGGTCCTTGCCCATGGGGTAGAAAAGTTCAACCACTTGCACTATAATTTCTAAATTCAATATTTAAAATATGCTACTATGAAGGAAGATTTCGAATTCAGTCCAACCATTTCGGGTATGTTGAAACCATTTGTCACATTTTTGTTTGATAGTGTTCAATGTGTTAGTATGTTGTAATGTTTCGAGGTAACTTTTCCAAAAATTAAAATTTTTGTATATATTAATTAAAGTGTAATTTTTTTAATATGGATTTGATTAAATTTATGCTGAAATGTAATTTACATTTTCAGAAAAAAATGTAAGAAATTTTTTTTTAAAAAAAATTTATACTTCAATCAATGAATCATGTCAATAGTTTAGACATAAGTTCTAAGATTGATAGGATATGTATAAAATTTACTTGGAAGAAGTAAAACATCTATGAAGAGTATAACCACCGGTAATTACGTTAAAAACAATGAGCTAAAAAACTCGAACGTCTACTGCATATTCAAGATACCCTGCTGCATTGAAAAGCATGCAATCATTGAATCTGGGAACGGATAAGGTGAAGGGTGAAAGGTATCTATAGCATTCAGGTAAACAGCGAACAGTGACTTCACAACTTCTTACATCAACAGCATGAAAGAACAGTGCCACATGTTGTGGAAATGGAAACATCTTCAGATTTTCAGGCGCCACACGTTTTGTGCACGTGTATCTCGAAATCAACCCAATAATTGAAGTATTACTGAAGCTGAATGCTCATTCATGCTCATGCAGCACTCAGTCTAAAGCACATTACTACTCCAAAGAATGATCAGTCTTCGAGGCCGTCCACTGTGTGCTAAAATTCTTGATTTGTATCTGCAGATCATGCAGCTCTTAATCATCAAATGAGGGATCCATGAACAGAGGATCAACTGAAAAGAACTTGAATAGAACAAAGGCAAGCACGTGCGAGAGGTACACTATTTGACGAGAGATGAAAAGTGCTGGGATTGAAATTACTTGAAGTTGAACTCCAAGTTTGACAACTGTACGAACTCCAACTGTATACCCTTTTGTTTGAACTCCAAGTTTCTCAACTGAATAACTATATGTACAGTCAATTTTCACGGACAAAATAAAAAACAACCGACCAAGACAATAATTCTCATACGAAGGTGATCAAATTCTTTACTTCGGTGGTCTGTTGAGTCAAGAGCCACCATGCCTATAACTACCGATAAGCATAACGTGTAAAAGTGAATGATCAGGTTTTCAGATAGTTACACGTGCTAAGGGAATGGTTAATTAGGTCTTCTGAAAAGTTGAGTAAAATTCATCTTAATGTTCCCTCTGCAGTGGCAGCTGTAATTTGTCTGGTGCGAATGGTCGAGTACAGTATGCCGAAAAGAACACGACATGTTAAGATTACAGCATGTATTTGTGGATTCGATAGCACAAGAAGAGCTAACCGCGTGCTTTTCTTATTATGCCATCACAGGCCTTAGATCTCCTAGCTATGTAAGCAACAAGCTATATCTCATCTTTTAGAGCATTTTTATGATACACTCAGTGCGGAAGATGTTACTGACCTTTGTAGCAGATGTTTGCTGTAGCCATCAATATTCGTCAAAATCTCGAATTTCCCTCATTCGTCAAGAACTAATGAAATCGGCATTTCGCTAATCTGTATGTACATCTGTTCAATTTGTTGCCCATGATCCTAGACTCGCCAAATGGAGACTCGCCAATAACCATGTCCCTTGGTTGAATTTAAAAGTTGAACAATTTTGACAATCCGTGGATTGAAGTGATGACATTGGATGTCCTGTTTTTAAGCATCCCGCTAAATTTTATTTTTATATTTTTGCAATCCAATGGAGGAAAACTAAATTGTCGGATGTAAAAGATCTGCTGTGTGATGATCGACCCTTTTATTTCGCAGAGATCGCACCTCATGTAACGGAGGAGCTAAGCCATCTTTCAGCCTGCAGTTATTTTGCTCTAAAGGCCACTTCAAGTTCCTGCATTGCCCAGATTGGGAGCAAACGGACTCCGAGCTCTCTATTTAAAGGATGAAGTTTAAACATGGCTCGTTTCTGTTGAAGACAAAGATGACGTAGTCTTAAGCTTGGAACTTCATCCTCATATCCTGCTTTAACCTCCTGTCGCTGAATGCTATTTCAGACTACGTCTTTCTGGTGAAATCAAATACATAATCGTGGAATGTAGCTACAGGAATATTTTGTCCACAAAGAGGTGTGAGAAGCATGCGAGGGATTGCTTCTCCGTACGTGGACCAATACACAGTTCCGTTATATCTGTCACTGCATTATTTAACTACAATTCCAGATGGGCTTGCCGCCCGCACATAATGCATGTAGATGCTAGAGGAATAGAAATTTACCTTGCTTCTGAACGAGGGTCGCCAAGAGCGTATCTCACTTCTTCATTTTCTATCAAATTCAGCCTTCCACAAGCACTATGTTCATATACTGATTGTGATTGTTTGCTGTTGGAAACGTTCAACTATGTCAAGTCATGCTGGCTCTACGATCGTGTTGCCCCTCGACAGTAAAGTGGCAGCAAAGTACCTGTATATCTGACAGCTTGGAAAACGCATTTCTTATAAGAAGTGCAGCAGCGGGCTTTTCAGCACTCTCAGGCGAACATCTGGACCTAGGATTCATGATCAGTACTGGTTGAGCCGTCTTTTTTCTTAATTATTCAGAAAATGACGAGTGAAGCTGCAACTCGTGCATTATGAACACTATAATGAGGTTTCACAGTCCTTGCCCCGATCAAGACCACATCGTAACCGAAGATGCCGTGCCAGCCACTGAAGTTCCTTTGCCGTTCCAAAGTTTTCAAAAATTTATGGCCTGCATACTCTTCGTCTTCGCAGCTGTAACCTGGAATCTAGCCGTAACCTTACATACGATCTCTCCGTATCACCGAACAGGATGATATATTTCTGCTGATCATCGCACAGCAGATGTTTGGCTAATGGTTCTTTGGTATTGCCTCATCAGATTGAAGTACCTAAGCGTGAATACCTTGAATAATATCTGGAGATTCATGATCATTTCTGGACTCCATGGAAGTTAATTGATGAAATTCTTGTCCGTAAATGAGACAGGCTTATGCAGATGTATTTAGGAGAACTACAGGCTGTGAGGAAAACCTAATAACAGCTGAAACTTCAAGCAAGAATATTGTTTTCTATAAAATTTACTTGTACTCTTCAAATTTTCAGGAAGTTTCCTTTCGTGCATATTCGACGATCAGCGTTCGAGAACTCATGGATGCCAATAGAGATGAGATAGAAAATCCTCTTTGCTGAAGGAGTCAGAAAGTCTTACTTAGCTCGACTTATTAGCATATGTAGCTGTCAAAAAATTAAACTCTCAATATCACATGCTCCTATCTTTCCCAGCTCCAGATTCTAGTTTTTCACGGCTATAGACTGGAGAAGAAGCCCCAGCAAGAAAATCTGAATGAAATTCTTTTGGGTAGTAATTTCAAATTGGAGCGAGATTCTTTTCTCAGAGAGTTGCCTCTCAAATATTTGTGCCTACACAAGCTTTGCACTGATAAGTTCTTACACTTACATGGTCTGATCATGTCAAAGGTAGACTCTGGCAAGCCTGATCACCAATTTTAGCGAAATTATGACGCATCTGAAATGCTCCCTTTATCTGACAGCTTTGATGTTGAAGTAGGATTTACATTTGGTAGGATTTAAAGTAGGTAGCTAAAGCTTTGGCTCAGCCTTGACTCTTTGAATCTTGAGTTCCTTTGAAGTGATCTTGCTACTGTCCGGGCAAAGTTATAGCTATTCGCACATCATACCTGGAAACTCCCCACCGTCTGCCTGGATATAGAGAATTTCTTGGCACCAGGTGTAGATCACTTCTTTTCTTCCCGCAAAGCTTTGATTTCCAAAGGCGGAGACTTGTCGAATGAGTTCCTCATATAATTCGGGATACAATCTTTCTGTCTCCAAATCTCTGCATGCACAAGAGGTACCTTTCGAGCAATTCAAATAGTAGAAATACTGTTCAGCTTGTTTAACATAAAGCACTTGTCCGCATCTGTGTTTAATTTTTACGTGCATCGTGTTTCCAACTTTTGATCAATCTAATGCTCCATGGAATATTCCGAGAAAAATGATTGGGATTGGGGCACTGCAGGTGGTGTGAGCATAGGCACGAGATTCTCTCGGAGACAGTCAAAATTGGATCACATCTGTCGGTGAGAACTCTTGGGAAGAATAGCGATGACCATCTTTTGGCTGACTTTCTTTCGGCAGACTTAGCCTCCTCCGGCCCTCAGGACCAACAAAGGTAGTGCGTACGATGCCTTAAGGTCCTGTCTAGGGCCATGACTCACACTCCGAGGTGGGCAAGGTTTGTCCACTACGCTTCTACTCAAGAATATGATCGATATACAGTCTAGACATCCATCTTACTAAACGGGCTCCGATATTTTATGCTTCAGCAAATGGATATGAGATTGCGAAACCACTGGCACATTCTTATACTTTCAACTATATATTTGCAAGCTGTGAAAAGGCTTCTTACGACGAGTCCTCGCCACAAAACATGGAACCGAACGATCCAAGGCAGCAAGCACCTCTTAGGACATGCTTGAGGTGACTTATAATTTTCTATATAAGGAGTCTCGAGTCTTTGGTTATTCAGTCTTCGGCAGTAGCGCATAGCTTCGACTATCGATGGGTTCATGTCAAACTCATCTTGTACCTTGTATTAGTATTTTTCCTCTATAGTATGCTAGCGGTTTCTGATTTGTTAACACCTGTTTGGTTTTCCACAATTTTGTGTTTTTTTTTAGGTGCGGCTATCTTGATTTTAAAGTCTGTGTTGTGCTCCCTGTGAGACCATCCATCGATCGTAGTAATCAAGACTTTTGTTTTTGAAGTGAATGATTATTCGAAAACAAAAGACTATTTTTATTATATGTATAATGATTCTAAACTTCCAGGTATCACGAATGACACTTAATATAAAGCAACGTTGAATTGCTCTTTGTTGTGTGAAAACTTTTTTCAAATCTCAATTTTTAGAGAATATGTGTGGTATCAGATTTAAAACCTGAAGGGCCAAACCAATCTTAGTTGAAGGATTGGTTTGGCCCTTCAGGTTATTTGCCATGAATATAAGTAGGAATAATATGTTTTAAATCGCATTACATATGATTGATGATACATATTTCAGGATGTGGTGATAATGTTTCCTTGCAGGATACTTGTAATGACTAGCTCAATTAGATATTGCATCTTCCCCCTGATATACTAGAAGAAAATCTATCCAAAGCCTCACCAATACAACAGAGACTTAGCAATCACCATCTCATTGCATAAATTACGTGTTCGCGTCATGTCAGGTACAAAGTTATAATGGTAACCTTGTTCTTCATATGAATGTGTACATGAACAAGGGCAGAGATTATTGGAACTTCCAACCCTTTAGCATAGAAGGGCTCGTGCACGAAATTTCCAGTTTCCACAGCCATGCATCGTACAGTCTACGCACTCTACACTTCGGTCGTAACAAAGTGGCCAGTCACACACACTCCTGGCTTAGCGGCCTCCAGAGTTGGGGGCTCGTTGTACGGCCTCTTTAATTTCAAGGCTCGAATTGTTTCTACATCTTGATTGAGAGCTATAGCAGCTGCTCGCTCCGACAATTGCAAAACTGCTCCGGCAGAGTCCTGGAAGAGGAAGCTGACTGTAAGAAAACCGTCGCTAGCAGTGTGTTATGGTATTTTTGGACACAATGCAATATATCGTTACGGAAATTTACATCTACACGATTCCTATTCCTGTATTGAATGCTCCCTTTGAATCACAAAATATATTAATCAATCTTCTAAAGCAAGGTTATATAGAATAGAATGAGATTTACCAGAGTGCCTGGATTTTGGCTATTCAGAGCAGAAACGTAGAAAGCTGTTTCTGTACCAACAATTAATTCAAAATGCAACAACCCGCGAGGAATTACGATGAGATCTCCTGGGTACAGAATGTGGATGTGAGCTTCTCCTGCAATTCAGAAGTCAGAGAAATCAAATATTAGGAATTAATCCGCCATTTTCTCCATCTATTAGTAACTCCCAGTATAAGGCAAATTACAATGATGATGTGATCTCGGTTGAAAATATCAGAACCTTTGATGTCAACGAAACCAGCCTGGAGTGGACCACCGCTGATCAATGAAAGGAGCTCTGTAGCACGTGGGTGGGTATGTGGTAGGTTCTCTCCACATGGAATCATTTTGAACTGAACAACTGTCAGACCCTCCGACCTGCAAATGCCCGAAACAGAAAGGGCAAAATTCTGTTTAGTGAACCACAGATTTTCCATTCAGCATAGTCCATGTACCTTGAAAAACAGCATGAAAGGAATATGTTGATAAAAACCGTACGTGAGGCCTCGGAATTTTCCGATGTCGAGAGCTGCTCGAACGCCTCCAGATCCAGTAGTTACATCTCCATTGGCAAAGATGTTGCGGAATACTGGTGTAATTGCGTTTGCTGAAAAGTCGACCAGAGGATCGGGATCGGCGGCTTCAACTCTCTCCACCAACAATAGGCATGTGCTGTAAATAAATACCAGCATGACCATGCTGTGTACCATCCTGGACTTTCAAGACGTTCATGATCGCTATCTACACACAACTTCGAATGTGGAATCGAGTAGGTAGTCAGAGCTTGTGGCGAAGAGGAGGAAGAAATCACTGAGCCTGCTGGAGTGTTGTTTTGAGCTGGTCTTTATACACCTGGTTGAGGTGCGTCACTTCGAATGCATGACTAAGCAATTTCGTAGATAGAGTATGTGAATGCTAATCTATTGAAATGATCTCACGCTTAGCTTGTGAGCTTATGCGTGGTTCGATTTCACGTCTGGTAAACGCTCCATCTATAAAAATTATCCAATTCACCGTTGTTCCGAACAATATTGTATGAAATTTGAAAAAGTTTGATCTGTTGTTTTATAGGTCATGTGAGGTCGTCTTCAGGCCTACATAGTGGAGGTAGGGTCAGGTTGATCCTGAGTTGGCTACTATTCTCCAACAGTTTTCATGCATCTCTTGTTCACTAAAGAGTGGACATTGTGTTCAAAAGTATGGAGTAACATATTTTATGAACTTGATTCCCGTAATAATAAGCTTCTTGAGAGAGATTCGATATTAATCCGTAGCCAGCATGTACTGCACTTATAGAACATCACTAGTATAGAAATCGTCAAGTCACATCTGCAAGCCAAAGATAAGACAATGCACCTGTACATGTATGAAAAACTTCAGTCTAGCCTAAAGTCAGCGAATATAGAACCAAGCTCACGAATCATCACCCCTGTGTGAATGGAGTATATAATCATCTAAGTGTTGGTCGTACTGGGGTGATGTCGCTGACCAATATCCAACTCCTATTACATTTCTATACAATAGAATTCTGTGAAGATTATATACGTGGTAAATAACCTGCCAGTAAATCTTCGCGCGGGAAAACATTTACTTGGATTTGACAAGAGATATATGAGATATAACAAGATTTATTTAGTATACATTAGATTTTCATATTTTTTAAATTGTTGCCATTTACATTTATTCAAGAAAAGAATGAAAATTTACAACGCGGTGAATTCGATTTTTGGTCATAATGTTTGAGCCCAGATCTTTGATGAACATTAATTAAAGTGGCCATTCAAAGTCATTAATTCTTAATTACAGAATTGAGAGCAGTGATGAAATGTTTAAGGTAGCATAAGCTTATGGGGTTCTGAAGTAAGTGATGTTCAGCAGTCACACATCGACGAGCCTACAGACCTCAGTTGTCTTCTGTAGTGCGAGAGAAGGCTTGCTCAAAGAGGTGGGGAATTGACATCTTCTTATACTGGTCCTTCGTGGTTCTTAGCCCATCATCACAGAATTTACTGCAGTGTTGAGATCATGAGGGAACTATGACTACTTCTCGACGCACCTCTGCAAGCCCCTGGTTCGCGTAAAACGTTGCTGGTTTATGTTGATAGTGAAGGGCCGCGCGAACGCGAGCCCTCCTCTCTCATAAATTATGACGTGCATTTCCCCATAGAGGAATGCTAGAACTGGTCCTACCTTGGTGCAATGGAGGACCAGGCTCTAAGTCATCGCCCTTCCGGATCAGCGATAGGTTCCGTCCAGGTAAGTATGTCTTCTAACAGTCCGACATAAAATTTGTTCTCCATCGCTTCTCGCCACAAACTCTCTACTCATGGGTTATTAGTACATGCCAGAGTGTGCCCTGAGATGTAGAGGGAGGAGGGAGCTCCTCCTCCCTTACACCTTTTGCATATCCGGGATAAGAACTCGATAGATAGAGATAGAGAGCACAATCACGTGAAGGACAAGTGCCAAGGAGTTGTTTCAGCAGGGCCTGGTCTGTTACAACAGGCAGTCAGCCTGGAAGAAATCGTTATATTATGTGGACTCAATTAAGCAGTGAATAACTTGGAAGGTAGTAATGATCAGTACACAATATGTTCAAGCTATGATCCGTTTCAAAGATCACCACTGCACTTACCTTTCTTCTGAAAACGAACACTTAAAAAAATAGGGAGTACACGACGTCAAATATCGCAGCCAATCACAGGAACAAATAACTTAATTGATATTTTACTTGTTCTGCAGGATTGCATGTTGTTTTGAAATTTGAACCAATTTAGACACAAGATGCTTGCAAAATTTCTTGCACGAATATTAAATGGTCACAATTTGCTCCTGCCGGTAGTTTCAAGCCTTATCAGCTGGTAGATCTTAGTATAAACAGATAGGTAGCATCTGTAAGGTACACTTTGCACATATAGCTTCTTTGGGTAAAAGATGTCTGGGTAGTTAAGAATTGAGGTGAAAATGGAGGTGATTTGAGGAATGAACGAAACATTTATTAGAAGGAATGCTTGTTTGAGTCAAGCTCATCTTATTCTCAGAAGCCTAGAATGTACATTAAATTCGAGCTGTTATGTTACTGTGACTGCGAGGTTGTCTATATTTGATGTCAGTGTACCTCGTGGTGAGAACCGGACGATATGAGTACAGCGCGTAACGAGAACTACAGTAGCGCTGGGATCCTACTGCAATGTATGACGGTCAGCAGACTGATGAAAAAAAATGTTGTGGAGTTACAGTGCCAGCAGAATACTCATCAGGTTCTGCGCAGTACTCGAGAATCAGCCGACCGCAGTGAAGCGCTGACCAGAACCTTCCTTATGATCCGGTTGGAGTGTACTACTGCTTGTCGAGGCGAGTCATCCATGCCCGGATTCGGTTCCATGACATAAGCCATTGCAAGTCACAACTGTGTAATAGAAGAAAAAATGAGTGGTTTGAGCTGTCATTCCTATTTGAGCCATTTTCTCTCAGCGATGTGATCGATATGGCATTCATAACCCTTCCGTTCCTGCAGTGTATAATATTCTCGTATTCACGTCCAAAATTTTGTTCCTCTATGTTCAGATGTGAAGCTTTTATACTGCATTCCACTCTTGAACACGAAAAGCTTCAAATACTTCCTCGGATATCAGGATCACTTCAGTTTTATCAGCTTCGACGACATCTGTAAAGAAGACGGTTGGACTTTCCGAGACTGATTTTCCACTATAAGTTAAAAGGAGCTCAACAACCCCGAAGAAATCAGGAGGCAGCCGGAGCTGAAGAACACTCGTACATATGTTTTACATATTTTAAATATAAACTCTGCTCCACCACTTATTTATTTAGTGCTAGCATTAAATAAATACGTCATGTATTGTTCAAACTTCAAACAGCGAAAACTTCAAACTACTCAGCGAAAACCGACCTCTGAAACACTGATTTTGCATCTGGTCAAGAACAACGTAAAAATTGTCTTGTATTCTTGTATTAGAATTTGTGGCATCCACTGATGTACACAAGAGCAAACTTACGCTGAATGACAGCAACAAGACTTCTGTTTAAGATTGCTCTGTGCTATTTGTCTATTCTGATCGGGATGTCTCTGTAGAATAAATGAATATAATTTCAAAAACTGCACAAGGTTGAAAGTCCTCGAGGTCAATTCTGTCGATTAAGTACATGGATGAAGAAACACTCTGACTTACTGCACTTCTCCTTAGCTTCTACCTACGATAGAAAATATTGAGAAAGGACTGTACCTTAAAGCAGACGGTGGAATTTTGTCAGTGAATTCTTTCACTGACTAGGTACTTCAGCATATGGAGTGCCAGTCCTGATCAGATCCAGGAGACTGGCACTTAAGAAATGAGGTAAGATGATATGAGTGAAACGCGAAATACCTTTTATACGTTGAGAGTGTGGGACTCTTCGTTCCATTAGATTTATTATAACTTTTAGTCGGATTTTTAACCACATCGAGACACTTGTTGTTTGATTAACGTGATGTTTCTTTCACAACCGAAGGGCCGAATTATTGCATAGATCTAGACATAAGGTACAAGGGAGATAACGCTGTCTGCTTAAGACCAAAAAAATCATGTGTTTATTTATTATGTGTTCACGAGAATATTGCAGACATACTTGCTCACGCATGAGAATCTTGATATTCTTAGAAAGTAGAACTGAATATTTATCTTCATAGTGGAATCTGCACAGTGGAAACAAAAATATTGAAGTACAACTCGCAGAAAATTTGAAGAATCAAATGTCAATTAAGTTTTAACATTATCATTTATGAGAATGATTGCTGTTGGGATGTGATACACTGTTTCTATTGGAAATTCTCATTAAATACTCCAAAATTGGCGGTTTCCTCGAGTGCTATCCTAGTCCGCAGGCCTCAAAGTTTCGCTTCCGCATGATTCAAGAGGCTTGGTGATCCTCCTGCTGGTGAAGAAGACTTTTAAGTGTTATGCCCGTCCATAAACGTGCAGCGTTCTCGTCGGAGGTACAATTCTCAACAAAATTAATGATCAGCTTTACCATGTGATTCAATGTGCCAGCGTGCGTAGGGTGCATGCAGTGAATCACGACTTTAATTTAGGATATGACTCAAACAAAACAATCTCAAAATCTCAGTGTATAAAATCTAGTCCGCTCTTACTCTTCATTCAAGTCATTTCAACTCATTCATTGAGTACCTGTCTTCTGGATCTGATCAGGTCTGGAGTTCTGTAGTTCTGCAGAACCTGGTCAGTGAAAGAATTGACTGAAAAAATTCTACCGTCCGCCTTGATCTCCAGATCTTTCTCTCTTTCTGCTTTCATCGGAAGAAACGAAGCAAAAGTACAGAATTTCCCTGACAGCAGAGTGTTTGTTCATCTATGTACTTGATCGATAGAGTTGTCGTGAAGGATTTCAGCCTTATGCAGATTTTTTAGGTACTTGTTTTAATTCCACAGAAAAATTCCGATCAGATTGAATAGATAGAAAAAGAGAATTCTAGGAGAGATGGCGATTACCAAGAGTTTCTCGCTGTTCTCCACCGTAATTTTCCTCTTGCGTATAACAGTGGATGCCCAAAATTATGGTACAGCATTGCAGGACAATTTCTACAACAGTTCTTGCCCAGATGCAGAAACAGTAATTCAGAAGGCAGTTTTCGCGGAGGTTGACAAGAACTTGAAGCTAGCTGCAGGGCTCATTCGCATGCAATTCCACGATTGTTTCGTAGGGGTGCGTTCATCTCATACTCTACAATGAACACTTCGGTTGTTGATATTAGAGCACTCAGTTCAAAATCTAGGTTCTTTGAATTGCTTCTTCGCATAGCTATGGACTAAGTTATTTGTCAGATGTGAAAAACGACATTCTCATGGGATATTATAATTTGTGTTCATTGTATATTGATTTGCGAACAGTTGATGTTTGAGTCAAGGTAGGAACTGGAATGTACCGAAGACTATTATTTGCATACACTAACGCTCAGACACAGATGAGATTGCTTCTGTTGGATTTACAGATCGATTCTTGTTGTCAATGAACCACAGGGTTGTGATGCTTCCGTGCTCCTAGATGGCAACGATACTGAAAAGACTGCATCTGTAAACCAGCACCTCAGAGGTTTTGAAGTTATAGACGTTGCAAAAGAAGCAGTGGAGGCTGTATGTCCTGGTGTGGTTTCTTGTGCAGATATCATAGCCTACGCAGCTCGTGATAGCACAATCAGGGTAAGCACCAGTACCCAGCGAGGAGATGGAATGCAAACAACTATTTGTTAGATGTAAGCGGAAATGTTTATCTCAAATTGTTAAACTCTAAGACGAACTTGACACGGTTAATTTTGAGCTTATATGGAACTCCTGTTGCCTCACATCTGGCCCGAACATGCTCAAAGCATACGTGGTTTTCTATACCCCCTTCATCAATTCGTAAGAACGTCAGTTTCAGTTACAATTTCCTCTAATGGCAGAAGAATTATGCTGCCTCTATTCTCGTGCTTCAACTTGCTTCCACCAAGTACTAGGAAGCATGGAGGCACACAACAAAGCTGAGCAATTTGGAAACGAGTTGGAATTCTAGTGACTAATCCTGAAATTTGTCTGGAATCTGCTTCATTCTATGTGCAGTTGAACGGCACAGGCTGGGCAGTGCAAGGAGGTAGGAAAGATGGATGCGTTTCTTTTGCTAATGCTGCAGAAGAGGAGCTTCCACCCCCAACCTTAAATGTTTCACAGCTCATTGACTTGTTCGCTCAAAGAGGTTTATCCGAGAAGCAGATGGTCATCCTCTCAGGTGCAGTTGATCTCCTTATCTTCGTATTCTCGATGCTGATTGTCATGTTTTAACGTAGTATCTCGTGACCCTGGCTAGTCTATTTGCGCAATCCACGGTGATATGATTGAGGTCATGGGGATTCAATTTGCATCTATAAACATCTCACTGATTATCATCCACTTTTGTGATTTCTCTGTTTCAGGATCTCATACAGTGGGAGTTGGCCACTGTGACAAATTCATCGAGCGGCTGTACAACTTTAGTGAAACTCATTCAACTGATCCATCGCTGAACTCCACTCTAGCTGAGCAGCTGAAGAAGGAATGTCCACCCAGGAACTTCAACACTACTCTCGAAATTTTCATGGACGTGATTACACCAGGCCAGTTCGACGCGAAGTACTACGTTGGACTTACAAAGCAAGAGGGTCTGTTCACTTCTGACCAATCACTCTTTGAAGACAGCCGAACTAATGACATTGTAAAGTCGCTGATTGATGAACGTACCTTTGAGCGCGAATTCGGCAAAGCCATGCGTGCAATGGGAGCGGTAGGAGTCAAATCTGAAGGTTCAGTCCGACTGAATTGTCGCATGAACAACGAGTGAACAAGCTTAACGAAACGGACAAGAATTTCCGTCCCAGATCGGATATAAACTACGTGGAGTAGCTGAGCTGTATCAAAAACAATCTGAACATTACTGAGATTCATGTTCGAACCAACTCTACTGAAATAAATGATGTCTTTTGCATTCGTGCAAGCTACAACATGCTTCGAATGTTTGTGATTTGACAGAATGGAACTTTGAACCCTTCGTCACATTTGTCTACAGTGACTCAATCCATCTTAAGAGGTTCGTAGCAGAGGTTATCCCTTGATTTCAGCACACCAACACACATATCTTCTTCCAGATCCATTAACTATCTGAGGTCTCAAAAAAATAAGAAATGAGGATCTTTTACAAACATAGAGCCCCGTTGGATCCAACAGATGTGGAGAAGCTTCCACGGGCTTGAATCTTTTGCTCCTACAGGCACTCGACACCTTTGTATTACACTCCATGGAGGCAACCGTATTCGCATTTAAAACTCAAAATGGATCTTCAAGGCGGTCCAGCATATGCATATTTTGAGCCTGGAAAATGGTCCTTTAAGCAAGCTGGGACTAACTTTGTTCATTCTTTCACTTTAATACATCAAAGTTGCATAATTAAGTAGCCTAACAAATAGAAAGCCGAAGTCTATCAGTGACCTGTTAACCTATCTCTTCACAGTAGTTGCAGATAAAAGTTTGGAATCATAAGCATGCATCAGATCTCTTCAGAAAATTTTATGAAGATCTCAGAGTAGAGAGTTACCAAATGTTGGACAATTTATCCTTCCTCAATGACTACCTTGTATCCAAGATTACCAATCTGAGTCTTCCACTTGTTGTCAATAGTTTAGATATTGAGGAAGACTACCTTCGCCCGCCAGAAGGTTTAGATGTAGGTACATTGACTTATAAAAAATTGGACTAGCTTTGAGTTCGCTACATATGTAATGAGCACCAAATTGTTTTCAAATGCTCTTTGCATTGATACATCACAAGTTTCTTTTTAAAAATATTAACTCGCTGCCTTAAGCAGAAATATCAGCTCAAACTGGCGTAGTCCAGTTCGTGTATACTCTCGAGAAGGGCTTGCCTTCACTTGATGCTAGTTTCAGCCTTGACCTATGTACTTCTGAATCTAAGAGTCCAGTAATTTCCTTGAGTCTTCGGTGGACACTTTCTCTGTTCTTTACCGTACAATTCGTTCACACCTTCTCTGTTCTTTACCGTACAATTCGTTCACACCGTTATCAATACATTGATATTTATGATTTACTGTATGTTTGTATTTTTTATAAAACTCATAAACAAGACTCCGAGAAAATAAATATTGCTAAATACCTGTAAAAGGATCAGCCAATACATACTTACAGAAAGAGATGTTGCATAGAAAGATATGATGCGTAGAAAGATCCGGACACTTGGAAAAAGATAGAAAAACATGTTCTATACTGTGGACACAATTTGGTCATTAGCCAGCGATGTATTTACAATGTGAATCCTCAAATTTCAAAACTCGACATCTTTGATTCCTGCCGTCATTCTTGTTAGCGATCGCTCAAAATTCATGTTCAGCTGCAGGTGTACCAAATTGCTGCCATGAATGAAGCCTTACTAGTATTCCTAAAATATCTGAACTCATTACGTTGTTAATCCTGGCTGGGATATGAGGTCCCGGAAGAATCTACCCCAAAGCTCAGCAGGTTCATAATATGTTGAATGTCCTGTTCTACTCATGTTGTTGATGTACATCTCTCCCTAAAATACTACTGCAGTGCAATTGTACATGGTATACAGATCGATCGCTTTACTGACAAACATGTATGTGACGATTGTGGTCAGAGTCTGGACTTTTCACTCGTGTGAAGGATTGTCTCGAACAACTTCAGTTCAAAATGCAGACTGCAAGCATGGTTTCCACCTCCAAATGTGATGGGCATGTCGAAGAGCCTGGCGGCAACTTATTGGGCTGCTGGTGTGAACAGTTCCTCCCAGGAACCTCCCACGTCAAATGCACCGACTGGACGACGGTCTTGAAACCTGAAGATAACACGTATCGTGATCAGATCAGTTTTCTTGAATCGTAGTATATTATAGTTGTAGTACAACAGAATACAGAAGTCAAGAGAGAAACTGTAGCTGACCTAAACTAAATCTGAACAATCGAAAACGTTGAATGTGGCACAAGCTAACGAGTCGGATGTTGTCTTTACCTTGATTAGCACGAGCATAGTAGTATGAAACGCTTGTACTCCTACTTGCTGCTGCAAACCTCCTATTAGTCCTTCTTGGCGCTAGATCGATAGAGTCGCTATACTGAAAATTGATTCGCCGTTGGGTATACATCGGCATCTCCTCCGAGTCTTCATTCGTCGCCGATTGATTGATTGCACAATCATGGATGAACGTTCATTCTCCTTTGCAGTAAGAGAGGCCCCACCTCGTCTAGATCCTGACTTGCTGTCAAACGCCGCGGACTCGGTGGAGATGAACATCTTTTGACTGGATTCTTTTGATTAAGGCTCAGAATCCGTCACCTCGTCGACGACGATTTGGTTGTGTCCTCTGCAGTTGGAGTGAATGAATGAAAGTTCAAACAAAAGAGTGAGGATTGTGGCAATCAATCCATGGGCGACGAATGAAAACGGTCCTCCGGTGCTAGCTATAGTGCGCTGGAACGATTTCATCTGAGACTTTGATTATCATGGATCCGCGTACTCTAGTTGCCGCCCACCAATCAACTGATCTCTCCATCTCCACCTGCGGTATCAGAACTGCTCCATCTGCGTTCTGGATCAATTCAGGTTCTTGAGAACCTGGTGAAGAACCATCGTGGTCAGTAGCAGTTCGCTGATGATGATCGTGATCTTAAATAAAATTACAATGGCTCACGGAGACTCCGTAATCTCGTATGTGTACGTATGCTTCTGGGAAAACGCAGTGTCGTCTAGAATAGCTACAACTGACGTATATCAAGTCCAACACTCGCGATCAGCAATCGTCATCGTCCTGGTCCTGCCTTTCTTCTTTGAGGGCCATGAGCAACGCGAAAGCCAGTTCCCGACCTCGTTGCGAAGCCACATCCTTCTCGAGCGGGTCTCGGGGCGGGGATCCGACTGCGGAAGCTCGAGATCTCTGCGCTTGTGCTCCTGCCGCTGCTGCTTGTTGTTTGATCTTCACCATGGCCTGGAGCTCTGCAAGGCTGCATTCTTCTTGGTTCCAGTTGCCAGCATCGTATTCTGCATCACCTGCAGAAGTTCGTCGCCTTCTTCTGATCTTGATGGATCTCACTTCATGATCAATGACGGGATCTTGAGGGCTCGGCATCCACGTCTGACTCCCCCATCTTTGCGCGTCCGCAGTGCGGCTGCGTCTGTGAGAAGCGCGAGCCTGAATTCGCACCAAAGCTTGCATCCTACGCCTGACCATGTGGCCTCTGACCAAGGCCTGCAGGCGCACCAGACCTTTGAGAGCACCGAGGGCTTGACGGGCAAGGAATTTCCGGAATGCAGTTTGAATCACGATTGCTGCCCATTCCTCCAGCATCCGACGAAGTCCGGCGGCGCCATTGCAGCGCACGATGGCTCCCACGTCTGCAACGACGGTGATCGAGTTCTTCCGCTGCGGGCCGCTCGGAGAGTCGGAAAGCAATTTGATCGAGTTTGGAGATGGGGGTCCGGAGGTCACTGGCAGAGACGAAACTTTCTTCTTGGCGCCTTTAGCTCCATCGATTGAAGGAAGACTCGAATCCTTGACCGCAACGTTGGTGACAGCAGCAGCAGCGAGCGCGTTGCCATCGCTCGATTTCAACGACTTGTGTGATTTCAATGACCTCTGGTTTGTTGCGCTACCGTCGCTGGACGAACTTGTGGCACTTTTGCCGCCTTGAGACGTCGACTGCGACCTTGAGTATTTTGAACCAGACGTCGTTTGGCTGTCAACACCGCTATCCTTGATCAGCTTGCTCGTCTGATGAGGAAGGTGTGAAAACCTCTTGCTGTCCAGATTTCCATGTACGTGATTGTGAATCTTCACTTTCAATGAGCTAAGCCACGCGGAGGTTTTGCCCATCTTTCTCGAGTCCCTCGCTCGTACTCCTACTCAAACTTGATTGCACTTGTGAGGAGCTAGAGAAGCAGAGGGCCTCTCGTCAAAGCTCGCTGTTGATGAATGGGATAGAGTACAGGGGACGAATGGAGCTAGAGAAGCAGAAGGCCTCTCGTCAAAGCTCGCTGTTGATGAATGGGATAGAGCACAGGGGAAGAATGGAGCTAGAATTGGAGAGAAGGGGAAGAATCTGAATAGAGCTCCGAGAAGAGCAAGGCTTGCTGAGAGACGGGGCTGAGAGAGGGGGGAAACGAGAGGAGTGAGAGACCAAGATGTGATGGGATGGGATGATGGTAGAAACGTGCTCACAAGGACCCTTTATATGACAGGCCTTTTTGGAAGGGCTTCTCAGACACTCAAAAGGAGAATCTGGAGCACAATGAGCTTCACAGTGCATGAACTCATTGCCGTCGGACCCAAAATCTCGGGCATGACAGTCAAGGATCTCTGCTCAGTTTCGAATGAGATCGGAATCTGCTTGAGCCTCGACCACGCGTGACAGCTTCCAACAGATCGTGAAACCTACACTTCGATCAGACCACCGGCGGTCATCGGTGAGGACTATGTTTCCCTCGAACAGGGAAGGACTAAAACCCATCACTGTCTGGTTCTATACAACGAGGCACCTGTCTATTGCGCGCGAGCTATATCACTCGGTTGTCACATGTTCAAGGACCCAAGAAATTGGGCATGGGATTTGCACAGTTTCTGGGAGCTAACACATATCCTTACTGGAATCCACTAGCTCACAGGTCCACTAGTTCCGTAGAACGGGACCCACTGCCCCCACAGACTCGCTTGAACTAAATATGCAGTACTGTGGATGTAGATGTTGGCCACCGGTTTCCATTCCGGACCCACACCGCCCAGTTTCCAAGCTCTCGGTTGAGAAAAAGTCGGAATGTTCGTTAGCGATGCTACATAGCCACGCACGGAATGACTGCGGAGGGAGGTTATTCTTAGCAGAAACAGCGAGGAAGAAGAGGTTACGCTTATCTGCGAATTCGTCCCAACGCAGCTCCAGGAACAAGGACGAGATGTGTCTGTAGAATTCTCTGATTCGTGCGAAACAGAAGATGGAACGACGGCTGATGGAAAACAATGATCCACCTGACAGAGACCATATACATTCAGCTTCTTCCAGCCCCATGCCAATGATCAGCCGCTGAGTTTACTATTTGGTACGGATGATCAGAACAATCACAAATGGTTGGGGTATCTCTTCCCACGGTCCTACATGCTATACACCTCATTCCGTGCTTCAGTTATACAAGGCAGGGAAATCTCTTACTTGACAAATTTACCATGTCTTCCCAGATGCTAAATTGATCAACTTTAGCATCTTCGCACTTGTCAATTATTTACAGACTCGTAGATTGGAAGAGCAAGAAATATCAAGAGATATTCTTTCACATACACCTCGGAATAGACATTATTTCCTTCAAAGAGCAACCTCGGAGCCCAAACACAAAAATTATCCATCACGAAGTAAGTCCATGTAAGTAGCTAGAAATGGCATGCAAATGACATGTAAACAAATGTGGGGATCTTCCATAATTCTGTTTCAGTCGATGGGGAGAAAATAGTGATAGATATGAGTTTGGATACATGTCATGTTTTTCTCTTGGCTCTCGTACCCTGGTAAGATTAGAGCAGCGTATTTCATGCTGCTCTAATCTTACCAGGGGTGAGTTATAGCAATGTAGTGCTTGATCCACAACAGCAGAAGTCTGCTGTTTGCCCCTTTTAAGACCGTACTGTATGCTAAAGACCGACATCCATAACGGAGCGTGTTTTGGACCCTAGAATCTTAACTCTTTCAACCAGATTTCAAAGTGGACGATCCACCACAAATTTAGAGACTCATATATTGTAATCACCAACAACTAGATTCTCAGGTGTTGGTGGCTTAGTTCCTGTTACCTGAGACAAGCTTCCTCCATACACCATCAAACATTGCAAGCTGTATGTTGCACAATGCGAGGTGTATCTGTCCCTTTAACCTCGCGAGGAGAGCTACAACGTCAACAGGAACATCTAGCTGGTGATTATCTATTCCTAGAGCAGATAGTTTGCGACCTGTAAGCTGCTTATGATATTACAGAAAACGTGTAGTCGCAGATTATGTCTACCAGACATATTACTAGCTAGTATCCAAATTTGTGGTGGAATTTACATTTCGGAATCTGCCTAGAAGATAATATCACCTGAAAGATAGAGTGACTCTTTATGCAAATCCAGAGCTACGGGTACCAGTTTGAGGCCACTTCTCTTAACAAACGGATAAATTCAAGGCATTGCGGATAGACCATGAAGAGACCATGTTGAATATAATATTTACCAAACACGGCTTTTCGTTTTCTTCTCGGCAAGTTCAATTTATTCCTTTACAACTTCTCTGTATTGTTTTAAGTCTGCCAGCTACAAGTACAGTGAAAAAAATTATCTGATTTTTTAATGAAGTCAGTAACACCGAATTGTTGCGAGACAAGCGGCCCATGTGACTGATCATGGGCTCATGAGTCCCTTCATACCCAGCACTGTTCTTTGGCAGAGTTGAAGATCAGTCTATAGACAGTCCCAACTCTCAGGTGGTCTTACTATGATGCTGTAGCTGATGACGAGGGAACCTTTTCAGGTAACAGCAGGAGGTTATCCCTGGCAATAATAAAGAGGAAATACACTTCGGCATTCAAGGATGAATTTGTGATCATGAGTGCACAGGACCAGTTTCTAAACCACTTTCAATGCTATCTCAGTAGAGCAAGGGTCGTCCCACGAGAAAGCGTCAGTTGATTTCTTTAATGGAATATTCGGTCAACTTTTTACAATCGGGAGATTGAAAATCTCTGAGAAGACCTTGAAATGTTCCCGCAGAAGAGCTGGCATATCTTTTAATGGAGAGAATTAATGCTGATTTTGTGGAAACGCTTGTATGGCAAGTGTTATTAATTGTCCCTGAACTATCATCTGTCATCTCAACACTTCCACTGGGATGCTTTTGATAGACCGGGGATCAGATTCGGACCGGTGATTGGAAAGTGGTGTATATGGAGTCCTGTTCGTAGATCACGATCTAACTGGTCATTAGAACAGCAAGTATTAAATTCATGTAAATGAGTCAGATTCTGAGTGTTCCTTGAACATGGACCTCACTGTCGCTGTTTTCGAATCAAAATCTGGCTGTCTGAGCATTCTCCACATGAAGTTGACGTCTTTAGTCGGAGTATAGAGAAATTCCACAGTTCGTCGTTTCTCATCAGTCAATCCACACTGTTTTGAGTTCAATCACTGGAAACAGGTCATTTCATATGTGTTCATCAAAGAATCAAATTCGAATCACCCTCTCAGAATGTTTAGGAGTCTGTGAACTTCATCACCGGACGGAATTACTGCACAAATGAATGTTTTTCCCGCGGGGCTTCGAAGTGTCAACTGACTTTACTGTGATGAGAAATATTCTGTTGAAGTGTAATTACTATACTGTTTCCAGATTTTCTTCTGAATCAAAAACTAACTTTGGCTTAACCTTGTTTCGATAGTTCAACTGTTTCACTTGTTTGTTTCTAATATAATGCCTTCCTCAGTTATGATTATGCTTGTTCCGGGATAACCCATAACCATCACGGCGATGACGCAGTAAAACCTCCCGATACTTCGAATCGCTTAAATGCTCTCAGTAAATGAATACGTGACGTCGAGTTGTAGACAGTTCTTCCAAATTCAGTGTTGTGTATGGGCTAGAATGTCCTCACAGAGCAAATCCCTTCGGCATTTTTATTCTACAAGCTTGGAGGTTGGCATGCAGTTGAGAATGAGTTTATTCACCGTGTGATCGGCAACAAACGAAATATCAAGCAGGTTCACTCTGTATCTCTGCTGTTTATGTATAAGGTCTATACGTTTGTACCCCTGAACCTCGTTGTCACCTTAGAAGAATCGGACAGATCTCACATCAACCAACCGCTGAAGTTAATTTACCGGAACATTTGACCCCGTAATATTTTACTTAAAACCACGATTTTTCTGGAAATCAGCGAAACATTCTCACTGGTAGTTACCGAAACACCAAAGAAAGAAACACAGCAACTCTTCAACGCTGAAACGTTAATACTCCTGCTTGGTTTTCAGGTCTCGGGACAAAGCGTGGAGATTGAAAACAGGGACTGGAAAGAGCTACGACAAAGTATAGAAATCTGAAGGTAGGATGAAAGAGCCATCTATTGACTGTCTAGAGGACTACGTACATTTGTACGAGACTTGATGAAGGAATTGCAAAGCGGGATCCCTCCTGTCGATTACTTGAGTTATATTAACAGAGGTTGCAACCAGCAAATCACATCTCTCATCTAATGAAAAATTGCAATGACACCGAGCTGCAATCGTCCCGATATACAATTCGAATCATTACGAGAAAACTGCTCCGACAGAATGAATTAAGTGGTGATTTTCTTTCTTATGAAGAAAATTTCCCTTTGTGCCTCTAAGCAATCGAAATCTACCAAATCACCATCACAACGCTGGCAGTAACCACACGACCATTAAAGGAAACGACGATAAACTGGGCCTCTACAATAAAATTTCGACCGTGACTCAGACCGGTTAACATGAAAAAGAGATATCCAGAGATACGTACACCTGATCGTTTCAAATCCCTGTAAATTATTCGAGGAAACCTACACCTGAAACTTGATTAAAATGGATCTGCGGCGATGTGCTCACCTGAAATCTCACAATGTCACATGTCTCTCCAAAGTGACCATGGCAGCTGAACTCCATTGATTTTGCAAAATCTAGTCGTCAGGGCTTGGGTCTGTCCTAAATTGCGAACATTTGATCAGAAAGGGAGTCCATGCCATCAAAAGTCAGAACAGAAACGCTCACCGTTAGTTGTGACAGTAAATGTTGACATTCCGAAAGCTGGCTGACTTCCTGACATCACAGCTAGTCAATAAGAATGTGAAGCCTTGCAGCATCCGAGAAGAGAGATCAGCTAAGTAGTAGTACAACAAACGTCCCCCATTCTCATTGGAGTCCACTAAGGATATGGAGCTGAGAACCTTGAAAGTTATATAAGGTCAACCGATCCTCAAAAAACGGAGGTGAATTTACAGGTAGTGACTGACTTTGCAAAGTCAGTCACTACCTGTAAATTCAGGTCATAACTGGATTTGACCTTTGACTTGCTGTCTGGTAAGTTTCTTCCACAAACTGAAATGTTACCTGAGCTCAGAACTTAGATCCAGGGTTAGAGGGAATATCCAGTAAAGTTGCAAAAAGAATGGGTTGACCCCATCAAGACGAACAGGGATGAAACCGAGAGAGTAGGGGCTGGGCCCTCTATGGAAATACAGTAGTTGGCATAAAATGTCTATTTCTTTCACTTGCTACATGCACATGAGAGCTGAGTTAGAGTGTTCTGCCTCTTTCCACTTACCGTGTTTTCCTGTGGAGATTTTACTGTGCTATTCTCAAGTAGAACCGGGTGTATTTCTCGAAGACAAGCAGGGCTTAGAAAAATAAGCTTCTAGTGATAGCGCAAAGGGCTGCACGAGCTTTGGCTTGTAAAGGTCCACGGCTTTAAAATTGGCAGGACACATCATTGCCAGACCGACGACTTGCTCAACGTGCAGGATGGATTGTGCATCCAACGTGGACTGGACCGATCGATGGTGCACTATCAGATCAGTCAAGAACTATCTCAAAATGATCAATTGATCTAATCTTAGGCTTCAGATAGTATGTATGTGACGTTTTGGTTACAGTCGTTTCTTCATGCTTGAATCTAGTAGATTTCAGAAGATGGGGTTCATTTTACCGTAGAATTGAAGTGAGGAGAGCGCTTTGGGGATATACTTATAACTTACCATGACTAAACAAACCAAAATCTTTGCCTGCATGTCAAGAGTTCACGAATAATGTCTGTACTTCGTGTGTGCTCAATGCATTGCCATTGCTCTGCATAGAGCAATGGAAGTGCATGTGCTAAACATTGGAAAGCAATTGAGTTAAATTGTAATTCTGTTGCTAGTGTATATGTTCCTCTTTATGATAATATTGGGTGTAGGCCTTGTTTATCAATTTATATTTGTAATATTCATGAAACTTTTGGGTGTAGCCCGTAATTCTCATTTCGTACTCATAATGTTGAAGTATCTCAAGGTTCCTTTTGAAACTTACTTGGACCCCGTTGCTGCAGTTCAGATTATAGGTTAAAGGTTTGGGACTTCCAAGCTTCAGTCTCAGGTGAGGGTATAACTGTACCTCTTCGGAGTGACCACAATCCATGAACGCTCTGGTTTAAAACGGATCCGGGACGAATATGTCTTTGTGTGACATAGCTGGCAAAAAGTTGGTTATGTTGATACTTTGCACTGTGACGGTGTAACCTAGCTGTCTTGAATCGAATGTCCGAAATAAAGAAATGCATCAGGTTTGCACAGAATACAAGCACAGGTGTACTGATTCATCAGAATCTATCACGTTATAGATCGTGATCTTTTGATATTCCGCATCAGTAGGTAACGGGTCCAAATGTGGCTACAGGTTACAATGATTCGCCGCACCTGAAACTCTCTTTCCAACGATGCACTACATGGATCACATGGAAATACGCTTGCTGGCACACTAAAAGTTGTTAGTTCTCACGTGAAAGGAAGGTTTATTGTCTCTGAGAGTGACAGGTTTGTTTAGAGTTGTTATACGTTTTTGTAGGCAGTCAAGCACAGCAGCCAGTCTTCCTTCTTGCGTTTATTTTCGCTGGTACGGATTGTCATTTCACAGTGTGCATTGAGATTCACAGTTGTTTACATAAGTTTTGCGATCCACAATGTAAACTTTTCATTCTTAATAGGTCGCTGTGTCTTTACTGTTCACACGATAACAGATAATTCTCTGGATGATATATTCTTTGTCTTCACTACAATCTCTTAGATTTCGCCAAAGAAGGTCCAAACGATGAGTACGGCTCTTATCTCTCACAAGCTTTTCGAGCCTCTGATATTTCAGCAAGTGAGGCTCACCATATCAGGAGAGAATTTATTTGAAAACAAGTGGTTGGCAGTCTGAAAAATACATTTAGATCTTTATGGTATAAAGATTTAAATGTATTGATATAATATACCATTACAATATGCTTGATTGTCATCACTTAGAATGGGGAAACTCGGACAAGTATGGCACAGATTTCCCCACTAAACGACAATATTCCATGCATTTCCCATGAATACTTCGTTTCTCCTACTTCTTGTATGACACACACATTCTTGTTTCATGTAATCACCCTAATCACCTTAAACCCCGTTTGTTGGTAGAGAGGAGCTTTGACAAATATACTTCCAAAGACCTTCCGTATTTGCTTTCTCCAATCAAGATATGCCGGAGTGCCGACAATATAATAACTGAAGAGCAGGTAAATAGTCATAGGAGAGTGATATAGCGGAAAGGTTGAGAAGACCCCATCAAGTCAGACGGGGTTCAAGATCTAGATAAGCCGGAATGCCGAGATACATCTAATTGATCAGCGAGTAAACTGGCAAAAAGGGCGAGTGATATATTGGAAAGGATGGGAAGAACTCATCAAGTCGTACAGGGATGAAAACAAATGGCAAAACGGAGCTAAGGCCCGATAACGTCATCTGCCGAGAAACCTATAATTCATTTTTAAAGATCACGGAACTGTAAAAGAGCGTTAGACTCTCCCTGACGAATTCAGAATGGGGCTCTGTGTTTTAAACCTTACGCAATCCAATCTGAGGTGCATTGTCTACACGTTGTTTAACAGAATTCCCAAGTTACATGTCAGTAATCTCCCAGATGCATTGAGTCAAAGGAGCCCTCAGGGAATGCACAAGCAGCAACTAATCTACTGATATACTACTGCCAATAGTGCATTCATTCGAAGAAAAACAAGACCACTTCCAAATTATGTTATGTAGTGTACAAAATTTATTATTTGTTTAAAACTTTTCAAGTTTATCATTCAGGCCTCAATACTAGCGAGTTTGCTTCACTGTCTGCTGGAAATAGACGTTCTCAGATCTTTTTTGGTATACCTAGGTATACATTTGCGAACTTCTGATACATCTCCACGGGTGTGAAATGATGAACAGAACTCCCACTGATGTATTTAGGACTTTTACACCTTCAGGTGCTGCTTGAACCAGCTTATCATGTCATCATGGGCTTCATGGGCAGATTTCACCTGCTCAGGACTATTTACATCGTACCTAATTGCCCAGCCATGTACCATTCCAGGAAAGATCTTGAAGGAGCTTGCCACCTGAGCCATGTAGACGCAATTAAAACTCACTTTTAGTGGCTCGCCACAAGGATACAATCGCAAATAAAGACTCAAAGTGTGCAGAAGACTCAACTGGAAGGAATCATTGAGCTAAAGAGAGGAGGATGGTTGGTTACATAATTTGATACGGCTTCCTTGTCTGCAGCAGGGCTCTGAGCCCTTCTGTAACATGGAATCAAGGAGTGATAGAGAAGGAAAGGATGACATAATATCATAAGACAATAATATTATGTCACGGTCAAGTGTGCGACTAGGCAACATAATAAATAGTTCGTGAGTGTAAAGCCATACACTTCCCAGCCTGATGGTAGTTCTCCAACTTCGTCACTGTGATTTTACCTTTTTTAATTTGAGTTCAATGACAAACACATGCATTTGTAAATGAGTTGTGCAGACTTCAGTCAAACGTTATGAAAGTCATTTCGGACAGAGAGATAGAAAGAAGGAAATTTAACTCACGTCCATACAAACCTTTCTCCAATACACATCAAGCCAAGTTCTCACGTACCTCTGGTCTGGAAGAAAGAATAGTCTTGAATTCCTCAGCTTTTTCGGCAGTTACTTGCTGATCAGTTTCAGGGATACTAAATTGGACGGGCACTTTGAATGCTGCACACCACGGTAGAAACTGTTATTCAGACTTCCACACTTCTTCAACTTTTCTTTGGTAGATATTGGTAGAGTGGAATTACTGGAAAGCTAAAACATATAACCTACAACATTAACTAAAAAAGAGTTTAGAACCTACCGTGAACGTCATCATGATTTACGAAAGATGGATGAAACAAAACAGCCGCATTAATGAGTGACGGATCTTCACTCGCCAAAAGTATAGCTACTTTTCCTGCACATGAAAAAAAGGCAACAGAAATATTCATTTTCCTTCCTTCCCTAGACGTATTGCCCTCAAAATCATAAAGCGTCAAGGTTGACTTTAAGATACCTGAAGATGTGGAGCGGCCACACAACTGATCAAATCCCACTGAAATGATAAGGGTAAAGCGAATCACAAAAGGCAAATATTGAAAAAACTTCGATAGAGTGAACAATATAAGCTCATACTGCTATACGTCAACGAGCACATTCTGCTCAGAAACGCAAGGTCCAAAGTGATGCTAACCTCCCCAGCAGCAGCCAGTTACACCAATACTTTGAAAGCCCTGCTCCTTTAGCTGGTTGATGACAGCTTTTACATCTGTTAAATCAGTCTGAAATACATTCACATTTCGTCAGTACCCGGGCATTCAGACCTGAGAAATCAAAAAGTGATACTTAGACTTGCATAGAGAGATAGATACTGAGAGGAACAAAACTGCAAGTGGATGTAAGTTGGTGAGAATTCAATGCTCTACTGTCACGCGTCATGCTGACATGGGAAAGATGACTACCATGATGTGCGTACATCGGAGAATCCAGGTAGAACCGATGTACTGCAGGCGAATGGAAAATCGAACGTCTTACTACTTTTACTACGTTCTTTATTCATTGCAGATTGTTCTTAAGTCTAGGGGAAGTCCACGGTCTAGGAGACAGATTTTGTAGCATACCGGAGGATGTTTAGCAACCCAAGCTGGAATAAGGGACGCACGATTCTTCATATCCTGAGGCTGGAAGGGATCGCCCCTAAACAAATCGGGAACGACTACATAAAAGCCCTCAGCGGCGCATCGATCAGCAAGTTTTCTGCATTCACAATCAACGGTAACTGAGCATCGTTCGACAGTAGGAAAATACACTGCCCTAGATACAAGAGTGGCCGACATCCCTCAGATTTTCGCAGCAGATTTTGACTTACTACATTGAAGACAAATCGATTCGAGTCCATTCAATCCAATTACCTCAGAAGGGGTGGATCAAATCCTGCAAAAACAGAGCAGTTACAAAGACACGAGTCAGCAAACTCGGCTTCTTCACGGTCAGAAACTCCCACACCGAAGTATACATCGAGAAAGCCTTAAGTGCCAACGGCTATCAAACTAGCTAAAACAAATCAGCAGTATTGAAGGTCTCGACACGATAAACCTTGTAAAGAGATAAAACGTAATGCCACCAGTCCCAGCTCAACATCTACTTTAGCATAACTAGTAGTAGGATGAAAGCAGAGCAAGCTTCTTCAATTCAGGAATTCTTCCTCCCCAAGTCTTGCTGGTTCTGACTGAGTTTTCCAATTAAAGTCCAAAGCTCTTGCATGGCTAGATAAGAAATCCAACTGGCAGTCACGGCACGAGAAATATCCGATTGGCGATTGCTCGGCAAAATTTGATCAACACTAGTTACGAGTAATACCCATGATGTCGCTGACGAGAACAAGCGCAGCTGTTGCGCCCGCAGGACCGGGATTAACGTATGCATCCAAGCCTGCAAACTTCACAGATTGTCCCTCCTCATGGTGCTCAGCAGGCGGCGCAGGAGTGCAGCAAGCCTCGGATGCCATCTTCACCCGATCAATTCAAATTTTCACTCAATCGCCTCTGTGAGAATCCTCCTCAACTCCAAATCACACGCCACAACACAAACTCAACTCGAAGTCCGCAACTTCACACTCACAGAAAAAACGAAATCTGCATCCGTTTAAGATCCCAACAGGATTATAGAGTCCAAACGAGCTCTTAATCAGACCCTTCTCTCCCCGTCGCTTTGCATGCCACGTTCTTCAGCATCACTCACAATAGGCCTCCAAGTCCTCTGCCTATTCTGCAAGAGTCAGACGGGTACACGGTGGACACACCTCACTCATACAAGCAGATACTCGGATATGTTATAATAACATTAAGTCCCTATAGTTGCTTCTATTCTCTGGTAAAAGCTTTTCTTGGGTCATGTTTACACGGTATGGTTGTGTAGCAATATAGCCTTTTCCAGGTACGTGACAGAGGTAAGGATCATGAGCCTCTAAAGTACAGTCATGGAGTCAATAATAAAAAAACCCTTTAAGCTTTTCTCTCCGGACTGCATACAGCTTTTCCGGACCTTTTCTGTAAGTATATGGTTCATCGCATGCAGAAAATGTTTCGCCTTCGGCTCTTCTCCGTCGTGCAATGAGAATACCAAGAGCTAAAGTGTTTACAGGTGCTTCTGAGACTTTTCAATTTAGGTGTAAGAAGTTTCTATGACCAAGTTTGCTGATGCACTCTGATTACCTACTCTACTGTGATGCACCGCCTGCACCTCAGAACTTGCGGAACCATCACAATGGTAGCTCGGACAAGTACAACCTGTTGGTAGAACCATATGACAAACGTAGGAGAATGCTGACCAACTACGAGCCCGAACGTGAACTACGTGAATGTGCAGGACTTCGACTGACAGAGCAGTGAGATCGGCGACCAGAGGAGCTTGGAGTTGAGCCACAACCTACTCCGTACGTAGTTCAGAGCAGATAGATATCTGAATGGCCTTCGCGGCATGGTATGAAAGCATGAACTTTCGGCCGAACTTTCGTTGCATGCGTTGTGAAGTAATTCGCTCTGTGACAAGCACAGTACGTCATAAATCTGTGACCGTCGCGGTTGGAGTTCAGCCACAACCCTACTCCGGACGTAGTTCACGGCAGAGACGTGACAGAGATCTGAGTGGCCTTAGACTCTTGCCTCTAAGTCTCAGAGGCATGTAAGCGTCCGTGGGAATCATGAACTTTCGACTGGACTTTCCTTTGCATGCGTCGTCACGTAATTCGCTAAATGCGCAACACCGTAAGGCATGCATCCGTGTCCTTCATCAAGATTTCAACCGTCAGAGCTTTTTCTCTTTTTGTTTTCTAAAGTTTTTTTGACAACTGCAACGAACCAAGATCGAAAATATAATTGCTGTGCAATGTACCTCCTGAGGAATATCAAAAGTCCTAGCGAAGCGAGACGACCAAATAAAAGATAAGGACGCGACAATGGTTGAAACGGCGTGGCATTGAATATGGAATTAATAAGGCGTGCTTCATACAACATGCGTCTCCCCTTCTCTCGTCAGGTCTCTTATTTCATGTGTGCGCGCTTCATACGGCGATGCAGCCGGATGGCTAGGACGCCAAAAACGAAAACGTTGCCTAATAAATGTATAAACTAGCGAGCAGAATGATACGTGTATTCACATACTTGGTTTCGGATTTCATACAATTGGTGCGAACATTGTGATAACAATCATGTTATATAAAAAGATTTATGTAATTTATTTTCGCTAATATATCATCGCTTTAGTCAAATTTAGTTTTTATTTGTTATTATTGAGATCTTATCTCATACTTATCTTAAATTTTTATTCTTTCCTACAAATAGTTTTTTTTCATCTTCTTTTCTTTGATACTTGATAATGAGGAGTAGGGTTATAGTAATAATGACAATCATTTCCACCATAATCGACGTAGGAAAAATGTTCTGGTATCAACGAGCTTAGGTCCACGGAATACACAGATTAATAAACTGATAGACGTAATTTGTCACATAAAATTCATGTAAAGTATTTGTTAACTAGTTCAGTTAAGCATTAGTTAATATTAACCAAGATCTGAATATTTTTTAGTAGATATATATTTTACTTCTGATATAATCATGTAATGCGTAGAAATAAAATATAAGTCAATGCTTAAATAACGGCAATAATAAATCACTATCTTTGTAGATTATCTAAATTTTGTAAGTTAAGGGTTTAAATAGAGACTTTAAAATATAAAATCTTTCAAATGAACTTGTGTATGTAATCATATATTTCATAAGATGAAGACTTCAATATGTTTGAAATTTTTCAGACATGAAAGTCAGATGTAAATCTTACATGAATTTGAATTGTAAGTATGTTTATCAAGTCATCTACAATCTAATAAGAGTTTAGTATGATCAATAAATAGTAATTGCGAGTAACAACACTTCAAATATGTAATTTTGTATGTAATATCAAGTATTGGTTTAATTCAAATACTCATTCAGCTTTTTAGCCTTTTTGAAAAAGTATTTGTTATCTATACTTTTTGCATTTTTTGGAAGTTAGACATTAGTTAAATTTAGTGATTGTCAAGCGATTATCAAAAAATAATATTTAATTTTTTGAATTATAAAATCTTGAATGTATTCTAGTAATTCTGGAATATATATTTCAGAAAATTTTAAAAATTTCTACTAAAAAAGTGTAAGAACATTTTTATGTAAGATACTTTTCTCAATTTTAATAAAATATTTTGAGAAGATTTATTAATCGAAATACACTCAAATTTTCATGATTGGTTGAAACAAATCAAGAAAATTCTCATACTAATATTAAATCTTTCGAGCAATGTAACAAGTATCATGTTAAAGCGCTCTTATGATTTAATATCAGTATGAGATTTTTCTTCACTTGTTATAATCAATCATGAAATTCTCCATCTATGTTCTATCTTACAATAGAACTGCTACAGTATACTTAAAAAACTGAACAGTTATCATCTTTAGCATTTTAAATAACATCTTCTACATTTTTCACCTCATCATCTATACAATTGGTAAGAAAAGACAAATCGCTATAATGTTGGAATTGCAGATGAATATAAAAATATTCATAATTTTTTTTATTTTGTTAAGTATGCAAAATTTATGAGATAGTAGTGAATAAAATCCTCAAAATTTGAGAAATTTGCATCTTATATATACATGGTAGATCAAATATCAATCAAATATTAATTATTCCAATTTTATTTCAGAATCATGTGATTCGAAAACCACTCTATCAAATTTTTAAATTACAATTCCCAAAAATTTACAAATTTAAATTAAATATTTTAAATAAGAAAAAGATAATTATCAAATTTACTCAAATTATAAAAAATAAATTAACCACAAAGTTAGATAATTATTAAAAAATAAAAATGTGTAAATATACCACTTGTATCATACATAGAATTTGCAAAATAATTTATCTGAGAAAATAAAGAAGCATGAAAATTTTCTATTTTCAATACATTAAATATTTTTTATAAATTTGTTATTAATTGCTCAAAAATATTGTTGAAGACATTCATGTAATCATCCAATATGATTTTGATTTGTCTAGAAGTTTTGAATTGTAATAGGTCTAAGGTTATTTTGAGTGCTTTTAGTGATCAATAGATTATTTGATATTTAATGACTTTTTTAAATTCTTTTTTATTCTTTTAGTGAGAATGATCAGATTATAAAAAATCATAACACTTTACAATATGATGGGTAAACTGTGAGTTACTTTTAAAAATCAGTATACATGTAAATTTTAAAATTTGAACAAATTTCAAGGCACAATATTGTCATTTTAGCTGTGTATGTCAAAGAAAATCACTATCATGTCAATGCATTAGAACCTATAATCTATTTTAAGAACCTGCTTTTTTTAGGTTGTTTTACTCTCATTATGTAAACAGTTATTGGCACTTTTACTTTTGTTCATTACATTGTAGCATGATTAACAAATTTGAGAATATTCATTGCACAATTTATCACTTTTTTAGTCAGCTAGGATTTAAACTTCTGTAAGGTATCCTATAAATCTATATAGGATTTGGATAATTACTTTTACAAAGTAAGTCATATAGTCATAAAATCAGTTTGGAGCCCTGAAAAGTGTGGGCAAATGTAGTACACAACAAAAGGTTTGAAACTTTAAGGAAAATTCATTAAAATATATTTCAGGAAACAAAACAACATTTTTTTACATCTCTGTAACGCTGTTTCCCTGTAATTATTCCTAAAATTCACATGTAAGTCGACTCTCATGCTTAATTTGAATGAAAAGTGTAAGTTAGAATCATGGAGTCCTATTTAGATAAACCATACTTAGTTAGCGGAAAAGCAGAACCCGGTCAACACGGGACCTAAGATCTTCAGCAGCACCTAGAGAAGAGTCCATCGCAAATTTCTCAACCTATTGAGATGACTCAAGAATTTCGATATGATTGTTATCATAACTCACTAAAGAGAGAAATTCAACCGAAACTCTAAGCTTTACCGTGTGCCAGAAATAGTCTTCAATGTACAAACTTGTACATATGTTCATTCCCTTGCAAAGTTTCCAACCTGTATTATATTAATTATATAGAAAAGTTTTGCAACTAAACACGGGAGGTTCTTTGACTAAGCATAGCTATTAGAGCACCCCGTGCTCTCCTACACAGCTTGACAGGATCTTCAGAAAGTTCTACCCGCCTATCCTGAAACGGCTTAGTGGGGCTATTTGTCATGTACAGTCCTTTGGTGGACGTAACAATTCTCTCTAGATTGTATGGAACTACAGTAAGGTGAGATTCAGTACAAAAATCCTAACGAGAGATTTGGAAGATATCGAATCTGTCAAGTGTGGCAACGTACAACATGCAAAGCTGGAATTAGAGCCATGACGACGCTATGGCGTTTGGCGGTCATTAGCAGACACTCTTACGTCGCAAAGTCCACGGCCGTTACAAAATACTTCTCCCTTGTTTTGAGGTTATTCGCCGGTGACGGATCCCACAGCGTGGCATTCCTGGTGAATCTGGTGAATTGACCTGTGATAGCCGTATACAATGAAATGTTTTGCCTGTTGGAACAGGTCGTCCTCAGTTGGTATACCTTTTGTCTCCTGTCTCAATTCTTCTTGGGATTTGAAAAGATCTCATCATATCCCCTTCAAGGACTTCAAACTTTCAGTAGTCTGCATTTCGTCATACCAAAGTCAAACTAGTGCACTTCTCCTTAGAACATGAGTGTTCAACACATCTAAATTCTTGAGCAATGTGTTTTTGTCAAAATATAATGTTGATGGTTTTGTATTGATATCAATTAACATATACAACATATCAAAATCTTAGTTCATCTTAGTGCTCTAGTACCTTGGCCAAATCTATATGGAAGCTTTGAAATTAACACACAAATTACATTTCTGGTTCTTTAATCATATCTGATTT